ACCTGTGGATGTATTTCAAGGCCTACCTTCAAACTCAGTGCCTCTTTGCTTGACATCATGGGAAAATCAAAAGAAATCAGCCAAAAAATTGTAGACCTCCACAAGTCTGGTTCATCCTTGGGAGCAATTTCCAAACGCCTGAAGGTACCATGTTCAGCTGTACAAACAATAGTACGCAAATATAAACACCATGGGACCACGCAGCCGTCATACCGCTCAGGAAGGAGACACGTTCTGTCTCCTAGAGATTAACGTACTTTGGTGCGAAAAGTGCAAATCAATCCCAGAACAACAGCAAAGGACCTTGTGAAGATGCTGGAGGAAACAGGTACAAAAGTATCTATATCAACAGTAAAACGAGTCCTATGTCGACATAACCTGAAAGGCCGCTCAGCAAGGAAGAAGCCGCTGCTCCAAAACCGCCATAAAAAAGCCTACGGTTTGCAACTGCACATGGGGACAAAGAAACAAGAGATTGAAGACCAATATGGTCTGATGAAACAAAAATAGAACTGTTTGGCCATAATGACCATCGTTATGTTTGGAGGAAAAAGGGGGATGCTTGCAAGCCGAAGAACACATCCTAACCGTGAACCACGGGGGTGGCAGCATCATGCTGTGGGGGTGCTTTGTTGTAGGAGGGACTGGTGCACTTCACAAAATAGATGGCATCATGAGGAAGGACAATTATGTGGATATATTGAAGTAAATACTCAAGACATCAGTCAGGAAGTTAAAGCTTGGTCGCAAATGGGTCTTCCAAATGGACAATGACCCCAAGCATACTTCCAAAGTTGTGGCAAAATGGCTTAAGGACAACAAAGTCAAGGTATTGGAGTGGCCATCAATCCTATAGAAAATGTATGGGCAGAACTGAAAAAGCATGTGCGAGCAAGGAGGCCTACAAACCTGACTCAGTTACACCAGCTCTGTCAGGAGGAATGGGACAAAATTCACCCAACTTATTGTGGGAAGCTTGTGGAAGACTACCCGAAACGTTTGACCCAAGTTAAACCATTTAAAGGCAATGCTACCAAATACTTATTGAGTGTATGTAAACTTCTGACCCACTGGGAATGTAATGAAAGAAATAAAAGCTGAAATAAATCCTTCTCTCTACTATTATTCTGACATTTCACATTCTAAAAATAAAGTGGCGATCCTAACTGACCTAAGACAGGGAATTTTTACTAGGATTAATTGTCAGGAATTATGAAAACTGAGATTAAATGTATTTGGCTAAGGTGTATGTAAACTACCGACTTCAAACTGTAGCTTGATCGCCCCGCCCTGCCCTAAGGGGTCCACCGCACTGCAGCGCCCCAACCCAACACACCCCACTCCTCTTTAGGATCTTAGTGAAACATTCATTATTGGTTTCAGGTGTGTTAGGCCAAGGCCAGAGTGACAACCAACAGTACAGCAGACTCCTAGGGCCAGGACTGAGCAGCCCAGCAGTTAGAGATTGCCTAAATAGGTATATCCCCTGACGTTGGGCATGTTTTCAATACAGACTCCTTTTGTCATACAGTATTCCATATAAGGCATCCAGACTTTATGAAAGTTGCACAGTATACCTTTAATCTTGTAATAAATCAAATTTAGTGATACATAACTTGACATTTCTGACATCCATTTTGACATGGGAGGATAACCAACCTTCCAATTAATGGCAATTCATTTCTTAGCCGCTATAAATGCTAGTGTTTTACACCATCAGCAGAGGAATTACATTTCTGAGTGCATGATATTCAGTTTCACTGGCATATAGTACGTTCTATGGATGGTCTTAAACTGCAGTAGTTTATGTCTGAGATATGAACATGACAGGGCATTCAAACATATCTGTATAAATTCATCCTCATCAATAGTGTCTCCCATGTCTTCCTCACATTTTTGTTTGGCATGTTTTGTGTCATCGGGGAAAGCCATTATCAACCCTTGATACCATTTGGAAATCAACTTTAGAGGTTTGTCAGACTGCCTTAATAAAGTACAGTAGTTTCAATCTTTGAAGTTTCTGGCTTGTCCAGTGTTTGCTGCACAGAGAGAATAAAGTTCACCTCAGCGCCGTCACAGACTGGTCTTCCCTGGTTGCCTGGCCCTGCTGAGATCCCTGTCACCATCTGATCCTGCTCAGATGAGGCATGACAACGAATTACCTTGGTGTACATTTATACATTATATTATCCAAGAATAGAATCAATGGTTCAATAATTGAAATGAACATTATTCCCAGATCCCACACTGTAGCCCACCCATCAACTCAAGACGGAAATGTGTATCCATTTACTGGTTGTTATAATATATTGCAAAATTCCCCTGAGCTCCATAGACTGGTCTTCCCTGGCTGTCTGACCCTGCTGGGATACCTGTCACCGTCTGATAATGCTAAGACATGATGAGCATAGTGTTGTGTACTGACTGTGCACCATGAAAGTGAGGCATGTAGAGCTGTTTATACCTTGTCGTTGTGAAAAGTAGGGAATTAGCTAGGGAAACTGACACCTCAATAACATTGCATTGCTACACTGACTCTAAAAAAAAAACTCACATTGCGCTTTCAAAAAACGTCAGAATATTGGTCTTCAATCTCTTGGCCGCTGGTTTCATCGTTTGATTCAGGTCTAGTGTGATTGAGGCAAAAATAATAGCTGAAGTAAGTCAGCTAGCTAGGTAGCTAGGTCATTAACGTTAGTCAACTTCTGCTAGCTCTAATGGTACACCCAGACAACAGCAGCCTCTCTTCGCACGCTCTGTGCCGGTGTCCGCATTGTCCTAAATCCAGCCGGCTCATACCACCAAATAGCCTACCCAACCGCTCGAAGGCATTCGCATGGTCCTAAAGCACACAGATGCCTCTTTTTGAATCACAGTGCAATTATAAAACTTGGGGGAACAAAAATGCAATTTCAGAATGTGGGGGTGGGGGTCATGTCCCCCCCATCCCCAGTGAAAGTTGCTCCCCTGGGTTTCAGCCTTTCAACCGGTCCGCTTGACTTCCCATGGTAATGGAACACTTCTGTGTTTTCTTTAAACCACTGTAGCTTAAGAAAAGGTTTTCATGTGTAGAAGGACTTCACACAGACCACATGCTTTGCTGTGAAACAGCTGCCTGTATGGAGACAGCAGACATCCTACAGTAAATCTAAACAGAGACCCCTTTCTCTACTCTCCCTCTGAAAAAGCTTAATTGAACAACCTGGGTTTGTTCATTAGGGCACTCACCCAAAAATCTTTACATTTTCCAACAGAAAAGGAACATTTATGTTTCTCATTGGATAGGTCCAGGTAGTCAATTTTCTTCCATTTGGTGCCTAACGAAGAAAGATGAAGTAATTATTATGTATGACATTAGTATCAGATTTTATATACTGTACATTTCTACTTGGATGTGTGGGTTTGGAGCCATTCCCTTTAATCTTAGGTATAGCCTCTAGCTAATAATAGATCAGATGCATAAGCCACATTCACTCCTCACATCCTCATAAATCATGAATCCACATGATATATATTAGTCAGATGTGCAGGTCTTGTGTGACGCCGTGGGCCTCCAATAATCACCACCGCTTGGTGACGAGCCCAGCAAGGGCACCTAGGTTTCCAGCATATAAATATTCTCAATAGAATTCCCATCAACTTTTACAAAACCAGTTAGCCACACTACTGAAAAGCCTATGGACTCTGTGACATTCCCCAAATAAAACACATGAAACCAATCAATAACTGGGGTTTGAAGGTCACTTTTATTAATTCAGCCTCTGAACAACTCAATACTGTGCTTGATGTACTTAACTAAGTACACATGTATTGTGATACAGATGTAGGATCTTAATTTGATCACTCTGTTGAAGGAGAACTTTCTTGCAATGCAGGAAATGTTAAACTGAATTTGAAGTTTAAAAAGGCTTCTGAAGTTTGTAATTTCCACTTTGAAATTTCAGACTTGATTTTCCCTTATGAAAAATGTGTCAACCCCTACAAAAATGTCCATTAATTAAATCCACATTTCCTGTTGCTGCAATATTCTTTTCCTGCTGTAGCAAACTGGCTCAAATGAAGACCCTACATCTGTAAGAGTGTGACTGACGCAATGTTAAAAAGGGGATCCATTGTTGTGAAACTAGAACATGGGTTATCTAGCTAATGGTTTGAAATTAATTAAGAAGCTCCTATCCTGGAGGTGTACAAGTTTTTGTTCCAGCCCAACACTAACACACTTGATTCGACTAATTGTGGTCCATATTGAAAAGCGTCACCAGTTGATTATGTGAAACAGCTGTGCTAGTGCTTGGCTGCAGTAGCTCTCCAGGTTGGAGACCACTGAGATGGTTTCCTTCACCTACTATCATATTATGATAAAGTATGGTCATTACAGAAAATGACCCCCCCAAAAAAAGAATTAATACTCGAATGGTAAAATACTGTGAAACAATACGTCACATCATCTGCATTAGCAGAACTACATTTCAGTGAGTGTCTCATACACGCCCTCTCCTCTCCTTTCCCTGAGTGTGTGACCACGTACACACACTTAGATACTTGGTCTGCTTTAAGACCATTTCACTTCTGAAAAGGTGATTTGCGTCACAAACAAAACGTTATTCAGAGAGTTTAGACTTAAAAACGACAGTGACTTCACTATAGAAGAGGATGGACAGCAGTTTAAAGTAGCATAAGCTTTAAATAATGGCCCTTATTCTACCAATATTTTCAGATAATGCTTAAAAGGGCTCTTAACCCTAAATACCATAACACAGTCCATGTCTGAGCATAGAAAACTAGAGTATAAAAGATCTTAGCCACAGTGTCCAGTGAATACTTCAGTCTACCTGCAGTAGTTTCTGGTAAATACAAATAATATGGATCACAATGTTTCTTGCTACACGAACAAAACAACCTTCGAGTTTAGGAATATATGGGTGTGTTCACATTTCAATACATGTACAGTATATTAGGGTGTGTATGTGTGTCTACCCCAGGGTATGATTCTTTGTCTATGTGTGTAGGGCGAGGTGTGTGTGTATCTAGGAGAGCACAGTGAGGGCGATTGTTCCCTTGGTCCTCTTCAGGATGCCCACGGCCTCCTCGTGGGTGACCCCCTCCAGACTCTGTCCGTTAACAGCCATAATCTGATCCCCCCGCTTCAGACGCCCGTCCTCTGACGCTGCCCCCTGGAGAACATACACACGCCAGGTTACCACACTTACAATTACAACTGTCGAAAATGTAAATTCAAAAGGGAACAGATTTCATCGATTTAAAATATTATACTGACTTGCTTTATTAAACATCATTTAGTGAAAAGAGGAGATTTCCCCTAACCTTTCCAAACACGGTTTTCACATAAATAGGCAGGTCTCCATGTGGGCTTCCAAAGCCACCAACAATGCTGAAGCCCAGGCCGTCTGGGCCTCTGTCCAGGGTAATGGCCTTATATTGAGGAGGTCTGTAGGATGTAGAGAAATGTTGTCATTAGTTATCTTCTGTTGATGTTTATCAGGCCTTGTACGGGTTTGACAGGAGCAACAGGTGTGTGTGTGTGTGTGTGTGTGTGTGTGTGTGCGTGCGTGCGTGCGTGCGTACCCCAGGTCATCGTGGAAGATGCTAGTAGCAGTAAGGCTGGAGACCGAGAGTCCGGCAGCTGTCTGTTCCTGAGAGGGGCCGGTCACTGTGGTATCACCCCCTGCTACCACCTGTTGGGTTTTGTTGTTGCAAGACGCGTGATACATGAAAAGGTCATTTAGTTTTGTTTGTTCAGTTCATCAGCTCATTTACTTGCCTTTTAAAGGAATTTGTCTCGCATTTTGGAGCACTGCGATAAAGAACAATTTCATCATCAACATTTACAGACAACATGACATAGATGACAGCAGCCACATAAAACAGAAAGAGCTATATACTGTACCAAGCTACAGATAATACATGATAAATCAATTAAGGGTAGCTCAATGTCCACAATAAACACCATTGGACACAAGACCATACTAATCTTTTAGCAACAACGTATATACAACACCTTTACTTCATCATTATATCTGTATTCAGTTATCACTGATGAAGTAAAGGTTTTCAGATATGCGTTGTATATGCGTTGTTGCTAAAAAGACCAGTATAATCTTACTGTAGTTGGGAGAATGACAATGAGAAGTCTTTCACTGACCTGCAGCTCGATGGTGCCGGTGGCGTTCTTCAGCAGGGTGACGGCCTGGCTGTGGCTCATACCCTCAGTAGCGGTCCCACAGATACTGACGATCCTGTCACCGATCTGGAGGGGTCACAGAGAGGTCACAAGGTTAGAGGTTACAGCATGTGTTAACCCCTTGGTCACAATGTTTGTAATACTGGTACATTTGGGATAGAGACAACAACTAATCCTAAATCAATCCCTAAATCGATCCCTAACCCCTACCTCCTAGGTCCTTGTGGGCATGAACTAACAAAGATGTATTTAAGGCATTGTATTGTAAACTAACAAAGATGTATTTAAGGCATTGTATTGTAAACTAACAAAGATGTATTTAAGGCATTGTATTGTAAACTAACAAAGATGTATTTAAGGCATTGTATTGTAAACTAACAAAGATGTATTTAAGGCATTGTATTGTAAACTAACAAAGATGTATTTAAGGCATTGTATTGTATGCCACTAGCTATTATTATTATTACTATGTGTTTTACTTTTCTATTATTTCTCTATTTTCTTTCTCTCTGCATCGTTGGGAAGAGCCCTTGAGTAAGCATTTCAGTGTTAGTCCACACCTAAAATTTGATTTGAAGGGATTAGCGGAAGGGAGATAGTGGTTTGTGTTGATTGAGAATAGTGATCACGCATTACCGCTACTCAGCCGGCCTTCGGCCAGGGATCATAAAGCAATTGATTATAATAATACTGACTTAGTAATTATAAAATAAGAGAACTACTGATAAAGTTAATGTAGGCCATATCTAATGCAAGCAAACCATATCCAGTATTTCTAAACCACTGCTTTGTGTTTCGGCTGCTTTAGTTCACCCATTCTTCTTGTTCTTTTGAAGGGATACCAGCATAGATATTCTATTTAAGACATCTAAGACAGGCCCTCTATTCTGTTACATTTTATGGGCTCAGTGCAGTATAACTAGATTTATGGTCTCCTATGGATTACTGCTCTACTATTGTCTGTTGCCAGTCTGTCTGTGGGGGCTACAATGGTCCGTTTGTCTGTCCTTCTGCAGGAGGCCATAGGCCATCGCTTTCAGCTGTAAAGGCCCTCGACCCTAATAGTACCAACCTACGTGATGACTTGAAACTGACTACAGGCAGTATTTAGACTTGAGATAACACTTTCACGGAATTCCCCCATTGACAACACTGAAAGATTGACAAGAAAGTCTAAGTTGCGGGCACAAATCTGAATAGCCCACTGTCCAAAATGAACCAGCCACAAATAAAGGAAGAATACACTTAGGTGTAAATATTCTAAAGTTGACTTAAACTTGAAGTTTGTGCTCGCGTTTGGTGTATTTGTATGAACATCCATCGACATGTTAAAGCTCCTTGCTGTTTGTTAATTTGTAGCTCAAAACGAATCTCTTTCTCTTGTTTAGGTGAACATTTAGTGAATAGACTCCATGTGATCAGCGGAGTCTGACTTTCCTTGAGGGTCCTTGAACTCAACAAACATAGCCCACATAACCCATATCCTCTTGATCAGGTCCCAACCCACCTTGAGTTTGTGTGTCTGGGCAGCAAGGCCGGTAGGGTTCATCATGGCGATGAAGATGGGCACATCACCCAGGGGACTGCCCACTCCACCCGCAATACTGATGCCCAATGAATCAGTGAGACCCTATGAGGAAAGACAACCAATTACAAAAGTACTTCAAAATCACTACAACCACTAACCAGTTGTAGTAAGTTACCTCACAAAGACAAATAAAATACATATTTAAATAGTGTAAAGTAGTTTAATTCTTAAAGGTCTAAGCCGTTGGAGGAGGGGTTCTAAGCTGACATATGGAATTGTTTTAAGATGGTCATACTATGGATAATTGAGCTATTTCTTTGAATTTTAGGACCACTTTAGGTATCACAAAAATATATACTACTACTATAGCCCATAGAAACGCACTGATTAACACATTCATAAATGGAAAAAAAGACAGTCAAAAAAATTATAATAAGAAACAAGGTTTTGAAGTGTTTGTCCTATATCTAGGAGATATAAAACCTTTGGGTAGGCACAAAACTACCTTCATACTTCCATTCATCTTTGCAAACCGGTGCCGGTTACCTTCAGACGAGTTCCGTGGCACTTGTGGGGGTCGTAGAGCAAAACGGAAAACACCATCACATTAGTTTGTAGCCCAAACGGTTCAGACGCTACAAACAGAAGTTGGCACATTGACGGTACCAACTTCAGACGAGTCCCCTGTTCGAGACGGTCTCCCCTTTCCATAGAGTGGTCACATTCGTTTGTAGGTCAAACCGTTCTAACGCTACAGACGTTTTCGTGAGAAGACCGATTTTCCGGATGTCTCATGGTCTGACAAACATCGCTCTAGCTCTGCCACCTTTCACTGCAGATGCGGAAGTGCGACATCGGCGAATACTGTGGATTGAGACAGATATCTCTAGCTTAAACTGACGGATTTTGATGGGGATTTTGTTATTATGTTACTTAAATTGACGCACCGGTGCATCAATCTACTCTAGGGGGTTACCTCTCCACGAAAACCAGTACAATCGGTATGTTGCATCAATCTTAATACAAGGACAAGCAAAAAATTGTTTAGTTTTTCCAAATAATGATAAATATTATAAAAGAAAGCTGACCTTTGTGAATTCAACACTTCTGGTCTCCTGGTGGTCCAGTGCTTTGTAAAAGAGTAAAAAACAAGAGTAAGCAGCCAAAATGAATCAAGACAAATGACGGCTAGCTTTAGTTTTCCAAACAGCTACATGTTTATCAACTGAAAATGTCTTAGACTCCTGACTTGTATGTTGTACGCTGTCACAGTCCATCTGGAGGCTTCCAGAGGAGGCTGACAGAGAGTGAGGGGTCACCTTGCAGCTGCCTGTTTCACTCATCTACCCAAACACAAGGAAAGAGAAACGTGAAATGAATGACAAATTGCTTTCCTTTATCTGAACTCCATTTTGGGACTAAGGACTACCAATAGGCCATAGAGGAAGGAAGAGAACTGGGGAGTATTCAGTGAGCTGAAATATATTCATATAGAACTGTAATGAATAGAGCTTACAGGGTGTCCCTATTCTACATGGGTCCTATCTGTTAGATTCATTTCTATCTGAACATTCTGTAACATTGCCCTCCTGAACAGGCCCCAGGATATAATTAAGGTTCAGAAAACAAAATGGCAGCTTACCTGACTGTTCTGTGAGAACCTTCTCTCAGAGTGGAATGGTCCGGCTTTAAATCTGCCAACCTCCATCACTATGGGTCCCACACCGCACTGCAAACACAAACATGTAAACATACAAACACATAAATAGCTTTTCATCTAAACAAACCATCCAAAGAACAGATGCTAGTGACGTATTCCACACCAACCAGTCGGAAAAGAGCCAATACAGCACTCAGTATACATTTAAGTTTTTAACAAATTCTAAATACATAAATTATCTATCCACATCAACAATTTTAAGCTTAATTTGAGACAACTAAAACTTTAAACCCAGCCTGGTCCCAAATCTGTTAGTGCTGTATAGCCAAAGCCTGTGGTCATGTATCAAGACGGCACAAACAGATCTGGGACCCGGCTTTATTTGACCCAGATGGGGCTTCCCATGGTTCTTTCATAGGCTCACCTTCAGCAGCGCAGCCACTGACTCCTGGGTGGCGTTTCTGACGTCCTCCTTGTTGACGGAGAGGATCTGGTCTCCCTGCATCAGCCTCCCGTCACTCTCCACCACGCCCCCTTTCACTATGTCCGACACAAACACCCCTGTGTCGTTCCTGTTGGGGATAGAAACATCATATGAGTGAACCAGGGTTTATGTTTTGTTCGTGTGAGTGTTTGGTCTCTGTGCATGTGTCTGTCATTTGTGTGTGAGCATTTTGCAGTTAGGGTTTGATAGATTCAACACCAAATCAAATTATGCATTTTAAGTGTCATCTTTATTTGTGTAGTTCTAAAATGTTGTATTTAACTAATAGGCTCTCTCTGAGGACAATAAGGTATCTATAAATCTATTAGGTAAAAATGCAGATCAAATGCCCGCCTCCTGCTGTGGTTCGTTGAGGTCCATTTTGTTTTACCCAATAAGAGGCATGGCAGTTCAGGATCTATAGATATGTTAAGGAAAAGCAGGTTCCAAAGCAGGTAGGATTACCCAAATACACTGAAGGTAGACCTAGGTAAAAATCTAGGGTATACAGTTGAAGTCGGAAGCCAAATATATTTAAACTCAGTTTTTCACAATTCCTGACATTTAATACTAGTAAAAATTCCCTGTCTTAGGTCAGTTAGGATAACCACTTTATTTTAAGAATGTGAAATGTCAGAATAATAGTAGAGAGAATGATTTATTTAAGCTTTTATTTCTTTCATGACATTCCCAGTGGGTCAGAAGTTTACATACACTGTTGTTTAACTTGGGTCAAATGTTTCAGGTAGCCTTCCACAAGCTTCCCACAATAAATTGGGTGAATTTTGGCCCATTCCTCCTGACAGAGCTGGTGTAACTAAGTCAGGTTTGTAGGCCTCCTTGCTCGCACACACTTTTTCAGTTCTGCCCACAACTTTTCTATAGGATTGAGGTCAGGGCTTTGAGATGGCCACTCCAATACCTTGACTTTGTTGTCCTTAAGCCATTTTGCCACAACGTTGGAAGTAAGCTTGGGGTCATTGTCCATTTGGAAGACCCATTTGCAACCAAGCTTTAACTCCCTGACTGATGTCTTCAGATGTTGCTTCAATATATCCACATCATTTTCCTTCTTCATGATGCCATCTATTTTGTGAAGTGCACCAGTCCCTCCTGCAGCAAAGCACCCCCACAGCATGATGCTGCCATCCCCGTGCTTCACGGTTGGGATGGTGTTCGTCGGCTTGCAAGCCTTTCCCTTTTTCCTCCAAATAATAACGATGGTCATTATGGCCAAACAGTTCTATTTTCGTTTCATCAGACCAGAGGACATTTCTCCAAAAAGTACGATCTTTGTCCCAAGGCAGTTGCAAACCGTAGTCTGGCTTTTTTATGGCGGTTTTCGGAGCAGTGGCTTCTTCCTTGCTGAGCGGCCTTTCAGGTTATGTCGATATAGGACTCGTTTTACTGTGGATATAGATACTTTTGTCCCTGTTTCCACCAGCATCTTCACAAGGTCCTTTGCGGTTATTCTGGGATTGAGTTGCACTTTTCGCACCAAAGTACGTTCATCTCTAGGAGACAGAACGCGTCTCCTTCCTGAGCCGTATGACGGCTGCGTGGTCCCATGGTGTTTATACTTGCGTACTATTGTTTGTACAGATGAACGTGGTACCTTCAGGCATTTGGAAATTGCTCCCAAGGATGAACCAGACTTGTGGAGGTCTACCATTTTTTTTTCTGAGGTCTTGGCTGATTTCTTTTGATTTTCCCATGATGTCAAGCAAAGAGGCACTGAGTTTGAAGGTAGGCCTGAAATACATCCACAGGTACACCTCCAATTGACTCAAATGATGTCAATTAGCCTATCAGAAGCTTCTAAAGCGATGACATAATTTTCTGGAATTTTCCAAGCTGTTTAAAGGCACAGTCAACTTAGTGTATGTAAACTTCTGACCCACTGGAATTGTGATACAGTGAATTATAAGTGAAATAATCTGTCTGTAAACAATTGTTGGAAAAATTACTTGTGTCATGCACAAAGTAGATGTCCTGACCGACATGCCCAAACTATAGTTTGTTAACAAGACATTTGTGGAGTGGTTGAAAAACAAGTTTTAATGACTCCAACCTAAGTGTATGTAAACTTCCGACTTCAACTGTATCTTATCTATACATGTATCTACTAGGGCAAGGGCTGGGTATCTTTGGGATTTTTTCTTTTCCGATACCAGTTCCCGTTCAGACTCTTCAATTCGGTATCGGTTCGAGGTTTCCTTTTTCGTTTCCTATGTTGAATAAAGAACACATTTAAATCTTTAAAATGCCTAATCTTCCTCATTATATTCTCTTAATTTTCTTACTAGAACAAGTGTATATTAAAACAAGTGTGGGTCCCCCCCCCGTCACCATTGATTTAACTAGTTTCTCAGCAAGTATAGCAACTAGTCAATGACCAATGTTAATCACTGAGATAGGAAAGGTCAAACACCTTGACCCCCACTGCTCAATAACTTGTGGCCTACGCACATACTCACACTCTTGCGCACGCACACACACACGCACACACCACACACACACACACACACACACACACACACACACACACACACACACACACACACACACACACTATCCCCATCACCACTGCAGGCCTGACTCCTCAACAGTCTAATTGGCTCAGGCAAACAGGAGAAGCATGTTTCACACACACACACACACACACACACCGGTGGTTGCCTGAGGCTTCTCTGCTGGGGCCATTCCTGTGCTGTCTGTCTCCAGTGAGTTAGGGCTAGAGGTCACACACCTCTAACACCATGCGTTGAGAGACCCTCAAGGCGTGTGTTGTTATCTACTGGGATAACACACTGAGGATGGCTCAGCATGACCTTATGTGAGTCTGAATGAGTCAACACATTATTTAAACTATGTCCAATAATCTAATTGTGGTCTAAATGAAAAAAAACAAGATAAGTTGATTACTTGAATCAAGTGTATTAGTCCCGTGAATGGGACTAAGAACCATCGCTCTAGAGAGGCTAGTAGAGTCCTAGTTAAACTCTGATTGGTTGCTGCTTTCCCTTTGGACATCCCCTCGGGGACATTCTCCCCCTGCTCCCACCCCAATGGACATTTATCATTGTTACAGTTACATAAATATGTATATATATTATTAGTATTATTTTTATTATTGTTTCATTCACTTCACTTTTTGACCTGCACTGTTGGAGCGCCGAGCTTAAGAATTTCACTGTGCCCTGCAATTACGTCTGCGACCCTGTATATGTGACGAATAAACGAATCTAATCATCCTAGCGAAAGAAAGCTTCTCTCCAACATCTTTACAGTGTACATTTCAGGACATCCCTGTTTACGGTGTACATTTGAGGACATCCACATTTACGGTGTATATTTTAGGACATCCCTGTTTACGATGTACATTTTAAGCCATCCCTTAAATGTTTTCAGTCAAACGTCCCTATAAGACTTATAGGTTCTAGTACCTTCTCCCCACGATGCTGAGGCCCAGGCCCTGGCCGGGCTTCTTGTTCAGCTCCACGGTGAAGGCATCCCACAGGTCTTCCTCCTTGTACTGGGCCTCATCCCTGTACACGCTCAGACGCACCAGCTGAGGAGTCTGCCGCAGCACGTTGATAGCTTCGTCGTGAGTGGCCACACGCAGGTCAATGCCATTCACCTGCGGAGATGGGGAGGGAGAGAGATTAGAGGGGGAGAGAGAGCAGGTGGAGGGAGGAGGAAGAGAGATGAAAGAGGAAGAGAGAAAAAAACAGATTTGTCAATATAAAAATGTGGCAGCAAGGGTAGAATCGATAGCATGTTATATTGTCCCTATGAATAGAAACGCCATAGGCCCAAACACACTGACAAATATGAATATTGGTGTAGGATGTGAATAATGCAACATACACAGTCAACAGCTAGCATACATGTGTGAGGGTAGGCCTATACTTTACTATAATTATATTATACTTATATTTTGAAAACCTTTTCTGGTAATAACACCACAATGTACTTAGCTTAGAGCTGAGAACCGCAACCTTATTTTAAAGTGATGCTACAGAGGTTTTGTACAATTTCAGCCAGTAGTGTTGAAAGTATTACACACAAGCCAAAACGGGTCCCCGAAAATTGTGCAATTTGTGTACAACGTCATCCATTCGTATTATATGTTACGTCCTGCAAATTATTATTTTTTAAATCCTGCAATTCGTATGATATGTTACGAATTCCAATTCGTACAATATGTTCAGAATTTGTAAGTGCTTAAGATCCCGTTCAACCTCTTTAAGGTTCCATATCAAGGGGAAATAGCCCATTAGCGCTAACATAGCCATGTATGGTTTTTCTCATAGCAGACTGAAATGGGTCGCTAATGACATTGGTTCTGCTTGAGGCACAGAATGGGTGGCCACTCTCTCACCCTCCCCCTGACCCTATCATGAGCAGTGTGAATACTACAGCTTAGCTGAGGGCCCAAAGTGAATTACTGAGGCGGGGCAATTAAGTCATAAGGGTGTGTATGTGTTGGTGTGTGCATGTATTGAAAGGGGGTTAGTGAGGTGCTTCCAGCCCCATTGACTGAGCTGCCATGACTAACTGCCCCAGTCACACCCCTAGTCTGCCTCTATAACAAAGCAAAGGGCAAAAGGGTGGCTGGCAGACAGTTAAGCTGACTATTAAGATGTCATTCTATATATCATGTCATCTATACATACACTCCCAGTCAAAAGTTTGGACACACCTACTCATTCAAGGATTTTTCTTTATTTTTACATTGTAGAATAATAGTGAAGACATCAAAACTATGAAATAAGACATATGGAATCATATAGTAACCCAAAAAAGTGTTAAACAAATCAAAATATATTTTGTATTTGAGATTCTTCAAATAGCCACCCTTTGCCTTGATGACAGCTTTGCACACGCTTGGCATTCTCTCAACCAGCTTCATGAGGTAGTCACCTGGAATGCATTTCAATTAACAGGTGTGCCTAATTAAAAGTTAATTTGTGGAATGTGTTTCCTTCTTAAATGCATTTGAGCCAATAAGTTGTGTTGTGAGAAGGTATACAGAGGATAGCCCTAATTGGTAAAGACCAAGTCCATATTATGGCAAGAACAGCTCAAATAAGCAAAGAGAAACGACAGTCCATCACCATTACTAAGACATGAAGGTCAGTCAATCCGGAAAATTTCAAGTACTTTGAAAGTTTCTTCAAGTGCAGTCGAAAAAACCATCAAGCACTATCATGAAACTGGCTCTCATGAGGACCGCCACAGGAATGGAAGACCCAGAGTTACCTCTGCTGTAGAGGATAAGTTCATTAGAGTTACCAGCCTCAGAAATTGCAGCCCAAATAAATGCTTCACAGAGTTCAAGTAACAGACACATCTCAACATCAACTGTTCAGAAGAGACTGTGTGAATCAGGCCTTCATGGTCGAATTGCTGCAAAAAAACCACTACTAAAGGACACCAATAAGAAGAAGAGACTTGCTTGAGCCAAGAAACACGAGCAATGGACATCAGACCGGTGGAAATGTGTCCTTTGGTCTTGAGTCCAAATTGGAGATTTTTGGTTCCAACCACTGTGTCTTTGTGAGAAGCGGTGTGGGTGAACGGATGATCTCTGCATGTGTATTTCCCACTGTAAAGCATGGAGGAGGAGGTGTTATGGTGTGGGGGTGCTTTGCTGGTGACACTGTCTATGATTTATTTAGAATTGAAGGCACACTTAACCAGCATGGCTACCACAGCATTCTGCAGCGATACGCCATCCCATCTGGTTTGGGCTTAGTGGGACTATCATTTGTTTTTCAACAGGACAATGACCCAACCGACCTCAACCCAATTGAGATGGTTTGGGATGAGTCGGACCGCAGAGTGAAGGAAAAGCAGCCAACAAGTGCTCAGCATACGTGGGAACTCCTTCAAGACTGTTGGAAAAGCATTCAAGGTGAAGCTGGTTGAGAGAATGCCAAGAGTGTGCAAAGCTGTCATCAAGGCAAAGGGTGGCTATTTGAAGAATCTCAAATATAAAATATATTTTGATTTGTTTAACACTTTCTTGGTTACTACCGGTACATGATTCCATATGTGTTATTTCATAGTTTTGATGACTTCTACAATGTAGAAAATAGTAAAAATAAAGAAAAACCCTTGAATGAGTAGGTGTGTCCAAACTTTTGACTGGTACTGTATAATGACTATTTATACCATTCATTGTCTGTATTTATATAATTTTAGATGTAACATATGATTCAAGTGCAATTGAAAAATTATTCTTCAGACTCTATGAACCAAATCCTATCTTAAGTGTCACTTATTGATATGAATGCAGTGTTATACTAGAGTGTGAAATATGTGCCCATGTCTCAAGTTAGGATTGGGTTCTCCTGTCTGATATTGTCCATTACATGGGATTGCTGAAGGTGTATCGGCACGACCACATATTCGTCAAGTCTCAGAGTAGGAGTGCTGATCTAGGATCAGTTTAGCCTTTTATATCATAAGGAATACGATTACAGGGGGGCGGGGGATCTGATCCTAAATTATGAATACGGGCCCTGTTATATTCCAATACCTCCAGGATCTGGTCCCCAGTCCAAAGTCTCCCATCCTTGGAGGCAGCTCCCTCCTCATAGACCTCGTGAATGATGATGGTCCCCTAGAGAAAGAGAAGAGAAAGAAAAGTGTGAGAAAGGGGAAAAACAAGTGATGAAATAGGAGAGGTGTGTGACACAGTAGGAGGGAACAGGGAAAAGAGAGAAGGAGAAATAGAGAGCGGGAAATGAAGAGAATAAAATGACAAGGTGAAGGAGTTCAGGAATACATGGGAGATTAGAGACAGAGTGGAACAGGTTGACACTAGCCGTAGTCTGTGTGTAGGTGTCTATGGGGGAGGGGTGTAGCTGGAGTCTGTGTGTGTAGGTGTCTATGGGGGAGGGGTGGGGCGGTGTAGCTGGAGTCTGTGTGTGTAGGTGTCTATGGCGGAGGGGTGGGGGGGGGTGACGGTGTGGGAGAGAGGGGTCATTCTCGGGTCATGGGGCGCATTCCAGGATATTGCTTCCTGTGGCTGAGGACTGACTGAGCACACAGAATGGCGGGGAGAGAGGAGGAGCGGGGTGTGTGTGTGTGACAGACTGCATTATTTCCTATATTCCTTTGCCATTCCAGTGCCTCCACAGCTATTTCAGACCTGGGATACTACTACCAGCTCTAAAAGCACACATAACCAAAGACTTCTAAGTGGGTGGCATATCTTTTAAGTTTGTATCATTATGTAAGTAGTAGTGGGAATTGGTCTTCTTGTAATGTTAGTGGTTGAACTTCTACTTGTTTCTTATGTATTGTTATAAAATAATGAATTGGACAAAAACCCAGTGTAAATTCTGATCTAAAACTACAGATAAATCTATGGAAAACTATGTAAAACTAACCCAGATTCTTTGTCAGTAACTGTCAGTTTGCAATCTGTTAATTGGGATCCAACAACCGTTCTGTCATAGAATATTCAAAAATACACGTTTTGTTATTATTCTACAATACAAGGGGACACTTCAGAAACCCAGTCATCACAGAGCTGCTTTGATGAAAAGTTCCTGTGTGTGGCGTTTGCTCTTTGGCCTACCAATAGAGTGTCACAGCCCCCCACGATGCTGAGGCCCAGGCCCGTTTGGCCTTTGGAGATGTCTATGGTGGTCTCACAGCCGGGGATGATGGGACAGGTCATAGGGTCAGAGGAGGCCAGAGTGCCAGGGGTGGACGAGCGACTTGAGCCTGATGAGCGAGAGGGGGAAATTAAGATGAAGGATCGAATAAATGTTTTCATTCTAGCCTGGTCCCAGATCTGTGTGCTTTTATCCAATTCCTCTGATTATTATTGGCATGCCATTCAATATAAGGCAATTACAACAAATATTCAGAGGAGTTGGCTAAAGCACCTATTCATTTGATGCCAGGCTAAAATCAGACTAGAATTTATTCAGTCACCGTAAACTAGAGACTATACTATATTTGGATACTGTATCTGTTTCATTCTTCATTGTGTAAATCAGCAGAAACAGTAATGACTAACAATCACAGACGTGATTGGTATGTCAAGTGATTGGTATTGAAGTTGGGGGCACTTGTCCTATAAGTATATCACTCTGCTCTACATAACTGAGTGAATCATACTTCGTTCAAATTTTGAGTTATAACTAGCACCAATATTTAAGTTAATCTTCAGCTAAGTTGTTTACGTTCAATAAACCCAAATGCTAATGATCAATGGCATGTCCTCCTGTCAACACGACAAGCGGTTTACTCACTCCTGATTGGCTCTGACTCAGTCTGTCCCAGGGTAGCCATGGAAATGCTAGGGATGCTGGGTAGGCTGGTGGCCTGATCAGTATAGTGGGGGGGGAGGGGCGATGACTCATCTGTGCAGATTGTCAACTTCACTGAGCCTTTGGCCTTCCGCAGTAGAGAATGGACCTGAAATGTAGGAGAAAAAAAAAATACACAATTGGATAGTCCCCAACAGATGGTCTAGCAGAGATTGGCAGTATTTCTGTTACATGTGTTTGAAATACATATTTGAATTACTTCTGAATATGTTGTAATCTGAATTAAACTGGGCTGAATACACTCCAATGCATTTTGTATTTTCAAAATACAAAATAATTTTCTATACCATTTATTTTATAGCGGTTTACATTTTGTGGCTACCCTCACCCTGCATTGGTATCGTACGTCTGATAGCACTATGGTGTGAAAAAAGTGACTGCTAAATGAACTAAATATAAATATATACAGTGGGGGAAAAAGTATTTAGTCAGCCACCAATTGTGCAAGTTCTCCCACTTAAAAAGATGAGAGAGGCCTGTAATTTTCATCATAGGTACACGTCAACTATGACAGACAAAATTAGAAAAAAAAATCTCCAGAAAATCACATTGTAGGATTTTTTATGAATTTATTTGCAAATTATGGTGGAAAATAAGTATTTGGTCAATAACAAAAGTTTCTCAATACTTTGTTATATACCCTTTGTTGGCAATGACACAGGTCAAACGTTTTCTTTAAGTCTTCACAGGGTTTTCACACACTGTTGCTGGTATTTTGGCCCATTCCTCCATGCAGATCTCCTCTAGAGCAGTGATGTTTTGGGGCTGTCGCTGGGCAACACGGATTTTCAACTCCCTCCAAAGATTTTCTATGGGGTTGAGATCTGGAGACTGGCTAGGCCACTCCAGGACCTTGAAATGCTTCTTACGAAGCCACTCCTTCGTTGCCCGGGCGGTGTGTTTGGGATCATTGTCATGCTGAAAGACCCAGCCACGTTTCATCTTCAATGCCCTTGCTGATGGAAGGAGGTTTTCACTCAAAATCTCACGATACATGGCCCCATTCATTCTTTCCTTTACACGGATCAGTCGTCCTGGTCCCTTTGCAGAAAAACAGCCCCAAAGCATGATGTTTCCACCCCCATGCTTCACAGTAGGTATGGTGTTCTTTGGATGCAACTCAGCATTCTTTGTCCTCCAAACACGACGAGTTGAGTTTTTACCAAAAAGTTCTATTTTGGTTTCATCTGACCATATGACATTCTCCCAATCCTCTTCTGGATCATCCAAATGCACTCTAGCAAACTTCAGACGGGCCTGGACATGTACTGGCTTAAGCAGGGGGACACGTCTGCACTGCAGGATTTGAGTCCCTGGCGGCGTAGTGTGTTACTGATGGTAGGCTTTGTTCCTTTGGTCCCAGCTCTCTGCAGGTCATTCACTAGGTCCCCTGTGTGGTTCTGGGATTTTTGCTCACCGTTCTTGTGATCATTTTGACCCCACGGGGTGAGATCTTGCGTTGAGCCCCAGATCGAGGGAGATTATCAGGGGTCTTGTATGTCTTCCATTTCCTAATAATTGCTCCCACAGTTGATTTCTTCAAACCAAGCTGCTTACCTATTGCAGATTCAGTCTTCCCAGCCTTGTGCAGGTCTACAATTTTGTTTCTGGTGTCCTTTGACAGCTCTTTGACTTGGCCATAGTGGAGTTTGGAGTGTGACTGTTTGAGGTTGTGGACAGGTGTCTTTTATACTGATAAAAAGTTCAAACAGGTGCCATTAATACAGGTAACGAGTGGAGGACAGAGGAGCCTCTTAAAGAAGAAGTTACAGGTCTGTGAGAGCCAGAAATCTTGCTTGTTTGTAGGTGACCAAATACTTATTTTCCACCATAATTTGCAAATAAATTCAATAAAAATCCTACAATGTGATTTTCTTGAAAAAAAAATCTCAATTTGTCTGTCATAGTTGACGTGTACCTATGATGAAAATTACAGGCCTCTCTCATCTTTTTAAGTGGGAGAACTTGCACAATTGGTGGCTGACTAAATACTTTTTTCCCCCCACTGTATGTAAAAAATTAACAATTGCAAAGCATGCTGGGTATTATTTTAATGAGCTCTGCCCCAAAACAATACCCAGTGTGCTTTGCAGTGAATTTTGGCATGTTCATTTTCACATTTGCATTTAGGTCATTTAGCACACACGCTTATCCAGAGTGACTTGCTTAACTAAGGTAGTTAAACACAACATATCACAGTCAGAGCAAGTAACGCGTTTTTGTAACCGTTACTGAGAATGTTGTTGCTGTTCGGGCCGGCTACTTGCAAATTTATTTTTGTATTTTATTTTGATATATTGATCTTTATGGTATTTTCTATATGTATTTAGTAATTTTTGCCCATCCCTGTGGTCTATAAATGTTAAACTAACACTCAAACTATGTAAAATGTATGTATATGTAACAAAAAACCTGTAAAAACAAAGTAATAAAAATAAAATAAAGAAACACTCAACAAACGAATCAACTAACTATCCATTAACCCTGGCCGTAGGGTGTGTCTAAAATGGCTGCAGAGGCAGATCTTACCCTCTCCACAGTGTAGCCCACCACTGGTTCATCCTCCACAGCCAGGAGTTTATCTCCAGATTTGATGCTGCCGTCCTGCATAGAGTAACACAGGACTGGTGTTAGAGAATGTTTTTAATCTTAAAATATGTCCATCCAATTAGCATAACATGTAGGATGTCCAATATTATTTTCTGTACAGCATTGTTCTTTAAAACTGCTCCTGGACAGCTACAGGTTGTATATGCTTTTGTTCCAACCCAGCACTTTATTGATTGAACTAATCAAGGTCCTAGTAGTTTTATCAGGTGGGTTAGCGCTAGGATGGAACAAAATCCAGCTCACCTTGTGGGTCCAAAGGACCAGGATTGAAGAACACTGCTATAGAGGACACCTGTTTGAATCAGGAGAGTAAGACAGAGTGACATACCTTTCCTGCTGGTCCTTTTTCAGTTATACTCTGAATCACCACCCCATTCTTGGAGTCATCCTCACTGAAATTGATGCCGAATCCACCCTCCTCCTAGAGTTCAAAAGAGATAATGTACTTGAATTTTCTTCAATACCTCCCTGTCAACCATAATTATAGACACAGTGAATCATGCATGATGACACATTAAACATGAAGAAAGCGAGCTATTGATAACCAGAAACATCACAATGCAAGAACGGTTTGTTTTGTAAATTGTGAGGCAGTTTGGAACATTATGGTTCTACATCAGGGGTGTCCAATCTGGACCGCAGGGGGTTTAAGTAAAACAATAAATAAAAATGGGGGGGGGGCTGTGAACTAAATATACTTTAAAATGACTAATAGCAAATCGAAATTGTGTAGAGATGATAATGGACCTACATTCATACACTTTCTTGACTGTGTCCAGCTTGCCAATAATCACTTAAATTAAACCTACGCAGTCAAGGAGCATCGGATATTTTAAAAAACGATGGCAAGAGGACTATCTTTTGCTAATTTTGACGGCGAGGAAATATAACCCATTTTCAGTGCGGCCCACCGGACCTCGTTGAAGACCGAATGCGGCCCCCAGGGCAATATTCATTTTTCACCCCTGTCCTATATCAAGGACTATTGTAAAAAGAAAATCTGACAATAATAAAGAGTGACTGGAGCAGCAAACTAGTACCAGGGTGTTCATTAAGTTAGAAACAGGAGAAAAATTGTCAGAAACCGAAAGAAACAGGGAGGTACTATCTGAACATGACCAATAAGAAACACTCGTTTTAGTTTTCGGTTTGCTAGGGTATGCCCTAATGAACACGACCCAGTTCTACTCAGCATCTTGACACGGCATGATCTTTTGTTCCTGGAGAGTGAGAGGAAGTAACAGGAAAGTATGTGTCTGGTATGTGCCCATACCAGATGTTGCCTTCATACCATGATCCTCTAATAGACTATTATATAATAAACCATGTGGACAGACAGCTAGGCTGAGACTCCCATCCAGGTGTTTGGCTTGTCAGAAGACCCATTAAACTAGAATAGGTTCACATCCTCTTTACTCTCCCTGTCTATCCTGCTCTCTCTCAGTTTCTAGGATAGATTACTGTCTTCCCTCTCTCATTGTCCTCCCTCTCTCTTGTAGCAGCCAATTAGAATAGAGAATAGGCCCCTTTGCTCCCTCCCGCTCTCTCCCTGAAGAGGTCTGAGCCTATGTTAACGAATAGCAGAGCAGCATCGGAGAGTCTCAAGGTAACTCACCTTCGGCAGAATGACGTGCTGCACATATTTCAACATGTCGACATCGATCGCCGAGGGTGCAATGGAAGTACATGTTTCTAGCTGTGAGAAAATGATGAATATGAGAGTGAAAGTGTAGAAGATAGAGCCTTTGTCATTGAGCTGCTTCATACCTTCAGGCCGTTTTCAATCAGAAAAAGTATCTACACATACACAGGATGACAGGGAGACAGTGTGTGAATATGTGTCTGTTTGTTCCTGTGTGAGAAGTACATATCATGGGTGTATGCATGTGACATGGTTGTGTGTGTTTACCTCTGTCTGGGGCTCCAGGGTGTCTCCATGCTCCCTCACTGGTCCTACAGCCATCTGGTTGAGAGCATCTGTGTTCCTGTCCACCAGTCATAACTCAAGAGTAAATCACTAGTCACTGCTTCAGGACACATAGCTTTCTGTCTGTCTGAGACCCATAGCTCATGAGTGTGTCGCAAATGGCACCCTATTCCCTATACAGTGCACTACTTTGGTCAGAAATAGTGAACAATGTAGGGAATAGGGTGCCATTTGGGATGCATCACGAGTCTGTGAACCACACAGTCTAATTGAGGCTGTCAGTTGAGTTAAGTAGCGTGTGTTCCTGCCTGCCTTATTTTGGCCTGACATAAGTAGTTGGACCGTTGGTTTTCCATGATCATGTGACCTTACCAGGAATAACGCAGGAGACAATGGAAGGAGACACCTTGGAGTATTGTGATGCCTGTCTGCACTGATTTCAGTTTAGATCAGTCTAAACAGTCTTTTGTAACACCACAGCTCTCTCTACTGGGCTTTGTATGGTGATGTTATTAGGCTTAAAATAGTCCTCTGCTATTGAAGGGGCTCTGCTACAGAATCTATAAATGTTTGTCATTGTAAAGAATTGGGATGAGTGATTATACTGCTTTATGCAAGGCAGAAATTAGTTGAACTTGGTGGTTCAGTTGAAAATATACTTGGTGGGGGATGGAAATAAGGACTTGTGATATATTTCCTTGGTTCTTCAAATACACTACCTGATCAAAATGATCTTGACCTTCGACAGGGCGCTTTTGATGATGGAGGAGGCATTCTGGTGACTCCGCCCATACAGAATCTGCCCATTGATCTAATAGGGTGCAGAAATTAACAATATGGAATTTCTTACTACTGTCTAACGTACCACGTTATTCAATTCAGCAACTGGCATTAGTTTTGCTTCCTTCCTGCAAACCTCAGATAATATTGTCGAGATTAGATATCAAATCAGACAGGAAAAGCTACATCAAGACATAATGTGATTTAGTACATAAAACACAGTAATACCCACTGGGCACCAACTCCTGGTTAAAAACCCACCAATCTATAGCGTCGGTGACCACTAAATTACTAATCCAAGCTCCTCACCTCCAACAGTTCATCCCCTACCACAATGCGACCATCTTTGCCGGCGGCTCCAGTGGGGTCGATCCCGACCACAAACACACTCATGTGGGAGCGGTCGCGGTTGCCAGCCAGACTAAGGCCCAGGCCAGTCTTCCCTTTCTCCAGCTCAATCATGTGCAGCAGCCCCGGAAGGCTGCCGTAGCGCTGAATGATGTTCTCTGTAGAGAACAGTGGATAGATTGAAATGAGTCGAAACACTGAAACATCATACAGATGAATGTGAATACAGTTGCAGGCTTGACTAGAACCTGTGTGTGTTGTATAATATAATTATGTGAAATTATTGACTATATAATCAAATAGCTTTCCATGTAGTGTTTGGCATAGATTTTCGCTGGATAGCTTTTCTTGACTTGCTATACTCATACATCCAAGTCATGAATGGGAATTAAACAACTTTTAACAAAAATCATAGTCAGTGGTTCTAAACTAAAGGATCACATCAAATGCAAAGTCATACTCAACACATCTCACATTAGAGTCAAATATGTCATCGTTTCAACTTACAAAGACACTGCCAAACCTAGGTTTGTATTGATCCTGACAGACAGACAGGCCTCTCTCTCTATCTCTCAGTGGAATGGATAGTATTCAGAGGAGACCATGTTGTTCTGGGCTGTGTGCCACAGACTGTACTGTACCATCACTCCTGTACTAATCTCCCTGACTCACCTCATCAATCTGATCCCCACAGGACGGACACACACACACACACACACACCAGGGGCCCAGAAGGGACTATACTGTCCATAATCAGAAGAGCCTGAGGCCCCATTCAGAAACCACCCCTTTCCCTACCCCGCTGACGCTTCATTTTGAATAATTAGATAGGTATAATATGATTGTGCTAGCCTAGTTCACTTGCCTTGAGAGCCTAGTAGCCAGACTTAGTGCTTGAAGTAGACTGAAATAGGTGCTTGTACCTATTTTGGGTGTACCGGTGTGTTCCGGCCCAATTCAAGCACTGGCAAGACTATGATTGCGCAGATCAGGTCATGTTCAAAATGCAATGTGGATGCCCTCTAGTGGCCGCTAGGTGGTAGCACATGAGAGTAGGCATGCCAAGAGGGAGCTGGCTGAATCCATGGAAACAAACCCTAGTGCCTACCCACTGATGAATTGGTAGGACTTTCACCTATCATATATATTCAGTTCTATTCGAGTGCCTATGGAGTGGGGGCTAGGAGGGTTTTCTGGATGGGGTCCATCCATGGTCTTGTTCATTGTATAATGATCCATAATAACAACGTGAGCACCCAGATAACATAACATAGTTAGCCAACTTCGGTCCAATGAGTGACCTTTCATGAAGAAGGAGGAAGTTGCCCTTATTGATCGGTTTTGAGTGTTTAAGGGGAGGGTAAACTGTCCCTAGATCTGTTCATAGTCACACTCACTCCAGCTGTAGCCAAACTCATCCTTGTCTTCCGTCTGGGCCTGTCTGTCGGGAATCTCTGTCAGGGTATCGGTGTCTGTCTCTCCGACGTGGGGAACCACGGGAAGGGAGAGGTGAGGAGTAGTGGACGATGTCTTTCCCACTTCCCTCTTTGGTGGCTGCCACATCACAGAAGTATCAGGACAATAGAGTTGTAGTGTGGCAAAAAGGCAGATAATCATTTAGTTTCAGCGTAGCAGGTTTAGCTGACTACAACCTAAAGCTGTACTGTTAAGTTGAGTCGGTAAAGTACGTTTTAGTCAGTCGTGCAGGTGGACCCTTTAAAACGGGGTCACCCTACTTTTTAAGGATGTATTTTTAGTTTATATGACTAAACTGTTATTTGACTAAACTGCTGTAAGCAAAGCATTCCATTGATTCAAGTCATAAGTAGTGTATTTTTAGATTACCTCAATGTTCAAGACTGAGTTTAATAACAAATGTTCCTTACTGATAGAATTCAATCCAACCATTGTCCATCTGATAACACATTCAAATGGACACTTACCTTATGAAGCAAGTGCAACACAATCCAAGACAAAACTTGGATTATTTTGATCAATTTAGGAAAATTAAAAAGCATTTTGATTCAGAATCAAAAAATTGCATATTTTTTGCAAGAGATTAAATTGGGCACGTTTCAATTTCGACATTTCAATGTTCTATTTGTAACCAACAAAACACAAAAAATAAAAAGGGATTCAGATAGGTTTAGTGGAAATGTGTTAGGACAGCATGTATGCATGTAAGGCCTGTCCAATATATGTGTCTCCACATATATTCCATAACACAACCGTACAAGTATACATGGGAATAGAAGGTGAAAAGCACGACAACACAAAGACCCACAAACCTTAAACGGAGTAGGAGTGAAAGGGTTAGTTGGGGAGAGGCGTAGGAATAGTCTACTGTGACTCTCAACCTCCTACAGAGAACAGAGAAGAGTCAGTGACTTTCAGTGAGATAGACAACAAAGGACTAGGACAACATTGTGAAACTAAGGGCAGAAACTTCACTCCACCGCTATGATGGAGAGTGTGAGTGAAGTGCTAGGTCTACTAAAAATCGTAATTTGATAAGCTAAATAAGATTTATCCCAGGTGTCTCAAACTCGATTCCTGAAGGGTCAGCTGTATTCAGTCACATATTTGCTGGTCATGATGAGACATGAACTTGATAGGTGAATAGTATAATGTACACAGATGTAAATCATTTGGCATGAAAAAAGTGTACACAAAGCCCTGCGGGAATTTGGTTTGAGACTTCTACGACAATACAACATCAAGTTACAGGCGTTGTCCCCTAAGGTTACAAGACCAGGGCCCAAACACTTCAAAATACTTGAGCTGTTTATTTTTATTTTTTTTTACCTTTATTTAACTAGGCAAGTCAGTTAAGAACAAATTCTTATTTACAATGACGGCCTACACCGGCCAAACCCGGACGACGCTGGGCCAATTGTGCGCTGCCCTACGGCCGGTTGTGATACAGCCTGGAATCGAACCAGGGGGTCTGTAGTGACACCTCAAGCACTGAGATGCAGTGCCTTAGACCACTGCGCCACTCGGGAGCCCTGCTGTGCTTGGTTTCCTTTGGTTTCAGTACAGTGGAACCAATGGAATAGTCCCAAAAGTGCAAACGCCGTGCTAAATCCAGTGCACCTCAAGTATTTGACATAGGTCTGAAGGTTACATAGAGACACTGACCTTGTCATTATTGCACCGCACCATGGCTGTCGCTCTCTCCTCGTTGGTGTCTGTGGTTGAGGACTGTTGTGTACAAGAGGGACGGAGACATGAAAAATACACTGCTAGGCATTGCCATCAAATGTCATATCAGCAAAGGCTGAACTTCCAACGGTGAGGCATCATACTGTATTTCATTAGTGAGGCTTGCATGGGACATGTCTAAAGTAAAAGCATCCATATTAAAAACGTTTGTTTGAATGTAACAGAAAAAGTAGCCTGAGCGAAACTTCAATTGTTATTGTCTTTCTTCATGAGTTGTGGTTGTATTGGCAGATTATGGATTGCCCTTGGTCAGAGTGGGTAGTATATACACATTGGGAAAACTAAAATGGTGATGTGTCCAGTGAGGTAGGCAGCTCATTATCAATATTCCACCCAGGCCTGACCACATCTCACCCAGGAGCTGACTTAATATATTCTGCTTGCCAACCAGAAACCACCACAGCAACATTCAGTGAACCTTGTGGTTTGGGGTACTGGACATATTAGCTATTGTGTTATTTTAGCATTTCCTGTTCCTCTTCCTCAGTTCACAAAACGTTATAAGCCAGTATCCCAGGCAGACACAATCTATTCCTGGACTCAAAAGCACTTTCAATGGAGATTCTCCACTGAGCATGCTTTTGAGTTCATTAGTATAATTAATCTGGGTCTGGGAAACTGGGCCAAAGAGAAAATATTCTACACAAAGAGTATTATACACTGTAGGATTGACCCCCCACAAAAAGCAAACCTTGAGCAGCAAAAGAAAGCAGTCCTACATGAAGGAAGATTGGACACTGGGTCACACACACACACACACACACACACACACACACACACACACACACAGAGACAGAGACAGAGTAGAGCTACAGACAGTCTAACCTGAAGCGGAGGGGCAGGAGATAATAAGCTGGCAGAGGTTTGAATAGTGGGTCGTGGGTTAGACCCGGGGTGGGTGTTCAGACGCAGAAGAAAGGGTAGGGGCGCCTTCTAAAAGCAACACAGGGGATCAACAGCAAGTCAAGGATACAGAAGTTGAAGGAAATGAAATGTGGCAGCAGAGCCCTGACAAAAATGTAATCAGAGGCTGTCCAGGAAAGAAGGGAATAGCCAAGAAAAATAGATGTTCAAAAGTAAAAACAGCTCTGGAGTCATTCAAATTATTCCAAAATGATCGAATGGTAATGAATGTCCTCAAGGAGACCAGTGTTTTTTTTCTTTCTTAGAACCAAACAATACATTTTTCAGAAAATCCTCAAGGCTGCTTTTGGATTATTCACCAGTGACACAGAAGAGTAGAAGAAGGCCTTAAAGGGGAACTGCTAGAAAGCATAATTACGATCTGTAGGTGGGTCCCAGTGGCATCATTTAAAAGAGAAAGAGCAATACATACCTGCCCCGTAGCAGTTAACCTTTCTAGCATATAGCATTTTATATCTATTTTTTTCCCTATGGATGCACTCAGATTCAAATTTTTATTTGGGTCTCTTTTTGCACGTTTCTGTTGCATGCACATACAGTAGCCTATAAGCAAGTCTGAAAACTTCTGGATGGAGAGATAAAGCAACATCGACTCTACTGATGTGCAAAGAGAGAGATAGAGGGAGGAAGAAAGAAAGAAAGCAGTACAAATAAACAGAGAGAGCGAGAGATTACCTGGCACATTTGATAAGGCAAGCATTTTAAAGCGGTGCTGTATTTCTCTATGACTGGTGACGAAGCAGGGCTACAGTGGGACTCGGGCTGAGGAAGAGGTGCATGCTGGACTGGTTAGATGAAGGTTAGTGGAAGGTTGCGGAAAAGGTCCGGAAAGCTTCAACCATGCATGAAAATGAATGATTGGAAGTTGGATATCAAGGTATGTTGGCTATTGCAAAGCTGGCAGCAATTTCAGTAGGATTTTAGTTAGTCATGCTTTTGGAGCCTAATGGTGCTTTCAAACCAATGAAGATAATGCAGGAAAAATACAGTCAGCCAAATGTTTAGAAGTTTCCGTTGAACTTTTAGTGAAATGGATCCTGTCAAGGAGTCTGTCAACGAATTGAATATGAGCAAAAGCCTTTCTCAAACCTCAAATCCATCCTCTCGCAAAGCACACTCTCGGGTATGAAAGCAACCCTAATAGCCAGTCATGCTTTTGAAGCTTTGTCACATATATAGATAGCTACTGTAGTCTTTGTTGGATACAGGATGGTTAAGTAGCTTTTTGAAGTACATTTTGTATTAAAATGGGATAATTAATGGTTTGAGATTAGGAAATAAAGTATTGTTGTTGAAAGACATTTGCCACACAGCTAGCATGCCAACACAGTGAGCTAGCATGCCAACACAGGGAGCTAGCATGCCAACACAGGGAGCTAGCATGCCAACACAGGGAGCTAGCATGCCAACACAGGGAGCTAGCATGCCAACACAGGGAGCTAGCATGCCAACACAGGGAGCTGGCATGCCAACACAGGGAGCTGGCATGCCAACACAGGGAGCTGGCATGCCAACACAGGGAGCTGGCATGCCAACACAGGGAGCTGGCATGCCAACACAGGGAGCTAGAGGGCTCACCCTGGGCCTGTGGACGATACTCTGGACGAGGAACACTACAGTGTTTCCTGCCCTGCGGATGGCCTCCACAGCCTGCTCGTGACTGGCATCTCTCAGGTCCACGCCATCCACCTGATACATTCCAAAGAAACAAACAAATAATTAATAGGTTATCACTGTGCAATAACCATTTTGCCATGTCAAAGTAAATACATGCTACTGTGAAATAATATAGATGGGTGTACCTCAACAACCCTGTCTCCAGTCTTCAGGGTTCCGTTGCGGCCGGCGGGGCTGTCCTCCAGGATGTGTTTGATGAAGATGCCCCGCATCACCTCACCGTTGCTGAGGCGACTGCCCATCCCTCTGCCCCCCACGATGCTGATGCCAAGGGACTTGCCCGCTTCTTTTTTTAGCTCCACCCTGAGAGAGATGACACGCATTGTCAAATATATTTTTAAAAGGAGGTTCTCTATTGTACCACCACCACCTCCAGGCTGTGTAAGGGCTATTTTACCAAGAAGGAGAGTGATGGAGTGCTGCATCAGATGACCTGGCCTCCACAATCCCCCGACCTTAACCAAATTGAGATGGTTTGGGATGAGTCAGATGATAGAGTGAAGGAAAAGCAGCCAACAAGTGCTCAGCATACGTGGGAACTCCTTCAAGACTGTTGGAAAAGCATTCCAGGTGAAGCTGATTGAGAGAATGCCAAGAGTGTGCAAAGCTGTCATCAAGGCAAAGGGTGGCTATTTGAAGAATCTCAAATATAAAATATATTTGATTTGTTGAATTCTTTTTTGGTTACTACATGATGTGTTATTTCATAGTTTTGATGTCTTCACTATTATTCTACAATGTAGAAAATAGTAAAAATTAAGAAAAACCCTTGAATGAGTAGGTGTGTCCAAACTTTTGACTGGTACTGTAGATATATGGTTGATATAAGACTTGTGTATGGTAGATAGGGACTTGCCCGCTTCTTTTTTTAGCTCCACCCTGAGAGAGATGACACGCATTGTAAAATATATTTTAAAAAGGGGGTTCTCTATTGTACCACTTCTTGGGACACAGTTGGCCAACTCCTGTAATTTGATTTATTTGCAAACAAAGTAAAGAATTACATGTGACATTGAAGGAGGAAAATGGCTTGTGTAAGAACCTCACCTATTGAATACAAATTCAAGAGAGTGCAACGTTACAGAAGGTTCAACAATTTAAAATGTAAATGATTCTCTGTTGTATAAAATGGGGCATTGTGTCGGGTCGGTAAATTAGGTAGACTTGATGTGATTCTCTGTCTTTTAGATTAGGGTGTGTGTCAGTTGGCTACATTTCTATTTGTGACATTCTAAACGTTGCAGCCCATTGAGTTAGCCTCAGCTATTAATAATCCTGGTGGGCCACAGTGTTTGCTGATTTCCTCTTGATTGTCATTGATTGGACAGAGAGTGCCACAGACTTGCGTTCGCTTGCCTAAATCAGTCACTGATTAGAATCAGCAGACAGTGTAGAGCACCTCTCGAGGACAGGAGGTGAGGTGAGGATACCGGTTTTGAACAACATTACTATCACAAAACAGAACACAGACAGTGGGTAATATACGTATGCAGGGTCTATCCCAGTTCCAAAGCAGTATAACTACTGCCATAAACCTTGGCTTGACGTCCAAAGCAGTGCTTATTGCTTATTTACCCAATCAGATTTGTTTTCTTAACATTAGAGTTGGAAAGAGGGTATACCCCTATCTTTGCCATGATAACTTCTTAAATTAACCCATAGGAAGTCACACCCAGTTGACTACTTTAAAATAGTGAAAGCCTTCAATGGCGCTTCCTTCCCATGCTAAAACTGGCTTTGTGGAAAGGGCACCCTCTATCCAACTCTATGTTCTGGACCAAGCCAAAGTCAAACTTCCTACTCACTTCCTGGGCTGGTTCCAGTTACTGAAGGTGGCACTCTGTAGCTCGCTCTCCTCTCCCTCTCCATCCTCCCGCTCTGGGAGTTCTGGGATTTCTCTTCTGCAAAGGGACAAACCGAAAACAGCAGCCTTTGTAAACCATAGCTTGAATGATAGTTATCGACTTGTTTTGGTACTGTCTGGAGTACAACAAAATAATGTTGTAAAAGTTGGTCTATGCTTGAAATCAAAAGCATATGAGTTTAGTGAGGGCATCGTTATGAAAATAACTTTCTATAATATATTACTTCTATAAAGTTTTATAAAGTTTGAGCTTACATTGGGGCCGGAGGAGCATCAGAGAAGACGTCATCTTTAGGCTGCTCCAGGCTGGCCTTGTACTCCTCCAGATACTCCACGGGGACATAGGTGATGCTGAGAACACACGTGCGCACACACACCAATGGACCTCAGCACACTCCTAACAACAACCTGACCAAGATGTCATCATCACTGCAAATACCCCAAAAATATATATCCTATCCATAAACATATGACACGAGAGTTCAACTTTGTGTGCAAGCATGTCAATATTCATCATTAGGAATGACATGAACGTTTAACAAAGCATTAGTGTGGAAGAGCCTGCATTCGTATGTCACCCCATATGGCAGAAAGGGTACTTTAACAAAATGACTTGTATTTATTCATAGACGTCTAATCTACATTCAGGAGCTCGCCTGTTTTTCTCCCCATCCAAATTAACTGTGCGGCACAAGATTGCAGGAGGGGAAGGAATGAACTCTACATTTCTCCGGCAATGCATTCTGCCTATCATGAGCCCAAGGTGAGCCGTCAATTAATAATGTAGCAGACGTCCCGCATAACTATCCAAAACAGATGTTTGCGTCGTTCATAAATGTCTGGGCCAATAAAGTTGGCTCGAATTGAATTGAGTGCCGGAATTCTTTCCAAAATATGTCATGGCGGTTTGAAGGGAACATCAATTGGAACACCAATTCTTAATTTACTGGAACAGAAGAGAACGTTCCAAAATATTAAGAATGTAATGAAGGGGAAGTGGTAAAGAGCATAGGTCCGCTTTGGTAGGCCCAGTTTAAAGCAATTCAATCGTGATTAGTTGATTCTAAAGCACACACACTTACACTTGAGTGAAGATGACAGATCTAACAACGATGGACTGATTCGTACTTCAACATTAGGACATGCAGACACTGAGGTACTTGAATCCCTGTTCATTCAAACAGCAATTAAAATGCCTCCAAAAACAGATGACGGAAGGAACAAGTGAATTAGTGTGTGATGGGGTGGACACAGCGAAGTCCAAAAAGTGCAAAATCAATCGTTATCGCCACACAAATGGACCTGCAAGCCCCATAGTCCCAGAAAAGAATGTCAATGTAGTGTTAAGGATGAAGTTTTAATGGTTAGTGGTGCAGTCCAGTGAGAGATTTATCCAGATACATTGACTTTGTGTTAGGACTGCGTTAACTTGACTACCTGTGCACATGGACACGAGTAGAAGCTTAGCTGCCACACCAAAAAAAATGGTTTTGGAGATATATCTGTGTTGGTATTGGCAATATTAAATATGCTGTATTTAAAAAAAAATCAGCAAAGCATTGATTAGCTATAAGATTATCTGATCTGGTGAAATTTAATGGCCACAGATTTCAACATCATTTGACAATATCTTGAATTATTAATGATTGAATTGTGAATTTAAGAAGTTTGCTCTATTTTATACTTAACTGGTCAGACTAAGGTTTGTGTATGGTAGATATAAGGTACAGTGGGGAAAAAAGTATTTAGTCTGCCACCAATTGTGCAAGTTCTCCCACTTAAAAAGATGAGAGAGGCCTGTAATTTTCATCATAGGTACACGTCAACTATGACAGACAAAATGAGAATTTTTTTCTCCAGAAAATCACATTGTAGGATTTTTAATGAATGTATTTGCAAATTATGGTGGAAAATAAGTATTTGGTCAATAACAAAAGTTTCTCAATACTTTGTTATATACCTTTTGTTGGCAATGACACAGGTCAAACGTTTTCTGTAAGTCTTCACAAGGTTTTCACACACTGTTGCTGGTATTTTGGCCCATTCCTCCATGCAGATCTCCTCTAGAGCAGTGATGTTTTGGGGCTGTCGCTGGGCAACACAGACTTTCAACTCCCTCCAAAGATTTTCTATGGGGTTGAGATCTGGAGACTGGCTAGGCCACTCCAGGACCTTGAAATGCTTCTTACGAAGCCACTCCTTCGTTGCCCGGGCGGTGTGTTTGGGATCATTGTCATGCTGAAAGACCCAGCCACGTTTCATCTTCAATGCCCTTGCTGATGGAAGGAGGTTTTCACTCAAAATCTCACGATACATGGCCCCATTCATTCTTTCCTTTACACGGATCAGTCGTCCTGGTCCCTTTGCAGAAAAAGAGCCCCAAAGCATGATGTTTCCACCCCCATGCTTCACAGTAGGTATGGTGTTCTTTGGATGCAACTCAGCATTCTTTGTCCTCCAAACACGACGAGTTCAGTTTTTACCAAAAAGTTCTATTTTGGTTTCATCTGACCATATGACATTCTCCCAATCATCTTCTGGATCATCCAAATGTACTCTAGCAAACTTCAGACGGGCCTGGACATGTACTGGCTTAAGCAGGGGGACACGTCTGGCACTGCAGGATTTGAGTCCCTGGCGGCGTAGTGTGTTACTGATGGTAGGCTTTGTTACTTTGGTCCCAGCTCTCTGCAGGTCATTCACTAGGTCCCCCCGTGTGGTTCTGGGATTTTTGCTCACCGTTCTTGTGATCATTTTGACCCCACGGGGTGAGATCTTGCGTGGAGCCCCAGATCGAGGGAGATTATCAGTGGTCTTGTATGTCTTCCATTTCCTAATAATTGCTCCCACAGTTGATTTCTTCAAACGAAGCTGCTTACCTATTGCAGATTCAGTCTTCCCAGCCTAGTGCAGGTCTACAATTGTGTTTCTGGTGTCCTTTGACAGCTCTTTGGTCTTGGCCATAGTGGAGTTTGGAGTGTGACTGTTTGAGGTTGTGGACAGTTGTCTTTTATACTGATAACAAGTTCAAACAGGTGCCATTAATACAGGTAACGAGTGGAGGACAGAGGAGCCTCTTAAAGAAGAAGTTACAGGTCTGTGAGAGCCAGAAATCTTGCTTGTTTGTAGGTGACCAAATACTTATTTTCCACCATAATTTGCAAATAAATTCATAAAAAATCCTACAATGTGATTTTCTGGATTTTTTTTCTCAATTTGTCTGTCATAGTTGACGTGTACCTATGATGAAAATTACAGGCCTCTCTCATCTTTTTAAGTGGGAGAACTTGCACAATTGGTGGCTGACTAAATACTTTTTTTCCCCACTGTATGTGTATGGTAGATATATGGTTGATATAAGACTTGGGTATGGTACACTACTAGTCAAAAGTTTGGACACACCTACTCATTCAAGGGTTTTTCTGTATTTTTACTATTTTTGTAGAATAATAGTGAACAAATCAAAACTATGAAATAACACACATGGAATCATTTAGTAATCACAAAAGTGCTAAACAAATCAAAATATATTTTATATTTGAGATTCTTCAAATAGCCACCCTTTGCCTTGATGACAGCCTTGCACACGCTTGGCATTCTCTCAACCAGCTTCATGAGGTAGTCACCTGGAATGCATTTCAATTAACAGGTGTGCCATCTTCAAAGTTAATTTGTGGAATTTATTTCCTTCTTAATGCGTTTGAGCCAATCAGTTGTGATGTGACAAGGTAGGGGGGGTATCAGAAGATAGCCCTATTTGGTAAAAGACCAAGTCCATATTATGGAAAGAACAGCTCAAATAAGCAAAGAGAAATGACAGTCAATCATTACTTTTAAGACATGAAGGTCAATACGGAAAATGTCAAGAACTTTGACAGTTTCTTCAAGTGCAGTCGCAAAAACCATCAAGCGCTATGATGAAACTGGCACTCATGAGGACCGCCACAGGAATGGAAGACCCAGAGTTACCTCTGCTGCAGAGGATAAGTTCATTAAAGTTACCAGCCTCAGAAATTGCAGCCCAAATAAATGCTTCACAGAGTTCAAGTCACAGACACATCTCAACATCAACTGTTCAAAGGAGACTGTGTGAATCAGGCCTTCATGGTCGAATTGCTGCAAAGAAACCACTACAAAAACACACCAATAAGAAGAGACCTTCTTGGGGCAAGAAACACGAGCAATGGACATTAGACCGGTGGAAATTGTCCAAATTTGAGATTTTTGGTTCCAACCGCCGGATGATCTCTGCATGTGTAGTTCCCACCGTAAAGCATGGAGGAGGTGTTATGGTATGGGGGTGCTTTGCTGGTGACACTGTCTGTGATTTATTTAGAATTCAAGGCACACATAACCAGCATGGCTACCACAGCATTCTGTAGCGATACGCCATCCCATCTGGTTTGGGCTTAGTGGGACTATCATTTGTTTTTCAACAGGACAATGACCCAACACACCTCCAGGCTGTGTAAGGGCTATTTTACCAAGAAGGAGAGTGATGGAGTGCTGCATCAGATGACCTGGCCTCCACAATCCCCCGACCTTAACCAAATTGAGATGGTTTGGGATGAGTCAGATGATAGAGTGAAGGAAAAGCAGCCAACAAGTGCTCAGCATACATGGGAACTCCTTCAAGACTGTTGGAAAAGCATTCCAGGTGAAGCTGATTGAGAGAATGCCAAGAGTGTGCAAAGCTGTCATCAAGGCAAAGGGTGGCTATTTGAAGAATCTCAAATATAAAATATATTTGATTTGTTTGAATTCTTTTTTGGTTACTACATGATTCCATATGTGTTATTTCATAGTTTTGATGTCTTCACTATTATTCTACAATGTAGAAAATAGTAAAAAATTAAGAAAAACCCTTGAATGAGTAGGTGTGTCCACACTTTTGACTGGTACTGTAGATATATGGTTGATATAAGACTTGTGTATGGTAGATACAGTGAGGGAAAAAAATATTTGATCCCCTGCTGATTTTGTACGTTTGCCCACTGACAAAGACATGATCAGTCTATAATTTTAATGGTAGGTTTATTTGAACAGTGAGAGACAGAATAACAACAAAAACATCCAGAAAAACACATGTCAAAAATGTTATAAATGTATTTGCATTTTAATGAGGGAAATAAGTATTTGACCCCCTCTCAATCAGAAAGATTTCTGGCTCCCAGGTGTATTTTATACAGGTAACGAGCTGAGATTAGGAGCACACTCTTAAAGGGAGTGCTTCTAATCTCAGCTTGTTACCTGTATAAAAGACACCTGTCCACAGAAGCAATCAATCAGATTCCAAACTCTCCACCATGGCCAAGACCAAAGAGCTCTCCAAGGATGTCAGGGACACGATTGTAGACCTACACAAGGCTGGAATGGGCTACAAGACCATCGCCAAGCAGCTTGGTGAGAAGGTGACAACAGTTGGTGCGATTATTCGCAAATGGAAGAAACACAAAATAACTGTCAATCTCCCTCGGCCTGGGGCTCCATGCAAGGTCTCACCTCATGGAGTTGCAATGATCATGAGAACGGTGAGGAATCAGCCCAGAACTACACGGGAGGATCTTGTCAATGATCTCAAGGCAGCTGGGACCATAGTCACCAAAAAAAATAAAAATTGGTAACACGTGAAGGACTGTAATCCTGCAGCGCCCGCAAGGTCTCCCTGCTCAAGAAAGCACATATACAGGCCCGTCTGAAGTTGCCACTGAACATCTGAATGATTCAGAGGAGAACTGGGTGAATGTGTTGTGGTCAGATGAGACCAAAATCGAGCTCTTTGCCATCAACTCAACTCGCCGTGTTTGGAGGAGGAGGAATGCTGCCTATGACCCCAAGAACACCATCCACACCGTCAAACATGGAGGTGGAAACATTATGCTTTGGGGGTGTTTTTCTGCTAAGGGGACAGGACAACTTCACCTCATTAAAGGGACGATGGACGGGGCCATGTACCGTCATATCTTGGGTGAGAACCTCCTTCCCTCAGCCAGGGCATTGAAAGGGGGTTGTGGATGGGTATTCCAGCATGACAATGACCCAAAACACACGGCCAAGGCAACAAAGGAGTGGCTCAAGAAGAAGCACATTAAGGTCCTGGAGTGGCCTAACTTTTCTCCAGACCTTAATCCCATAGAACATCTGTGGAGGGAGCTGAAGGTTCGAGTTGCCAAACGTCAGCCTCGAAACCTTAATGACTTGGAGAAGATCTGTAAAGAGGAGTGGAACAAAATCCCTCCTGAGATGTGTGCAAACCTGGTGGCCAACTACAAGAAACGTCTGACCTCTGTGATTGCCAACAAGGGTTTTGCCACCAAGTACTAAGTAATGTTTTGCAGAGGGGTCAAATACTTATTTCCCTCATTAAAATGCAAATCAATTTATAACATTTTTGACATGCGTTTTTCTGGATTTTGTTGTTGTTATTCTGTCTCTCACTGTTCAAATAAACCTACCATTAAAATGATAGACTGATCATGTCTTTGTCAGTGGGCAAACGTACAAAATCAGCAGGGGATCAACTAATTTTTTCCCCCTCACTGTATATGGTTAATATAAGACTTGTGTATGATAGATATATGGATGAGATAAGGTTTGTGTAAGGTAGATGTGCAGTATGGTTGATATACTGTATGTGTTGTAACTTCTAGATCTGGATAAAACTCCCTACCATGGACAGGCGATGAGGCCCGCATGAGGATGGTGAGGAAATGTGGACAGTGAGGAAACAAATTAAAATGGCAGATTTTGGTTGCACACCCCTCAGCGTGGGAGTTAGCAATACTCACACATAAAAGGGGCACAGATCGTCCTCTGGTGCACAAGCAGATCTAGAAGGTGAAGAGGATTTTATGGGCAAACATACTGTACTGAGAAGTTTAACGTAAAGCAAGCAGCACTTGAGATACCGAAAATAATGGGGCCCAAGACTTTAATGTAGCTTCCCTCGTCCAAATGCTGTAGTCCAAAAGCCTTTCTATAGGACTGAAAGTCCTACCTTCATGTAGCCTACAGTATTCAATTGGTGTTCATCAGAAATATTAAATGTATGTACAGTAGCCTACAGATGTAGGATCTTAATTTGATCATCCTGTTGCAGGATAACTTTCCTGCAAGGCAGAACATTTAAAACGTGTAGTGTACATAAGGTTTAAAAGGGCTTCTGAAGTTTGCAATTTCCACTTTGAAATTTCCCTCACGAAAAATGTATCAACCCCTACAAAAATGTTCATTAATTATAATCCACATACTAATTCACATTTCCTGTTGCTGCAGGATTATTTTCCTGCTGTAGCAAACAGTCTCAAATTAAGATCCTATATATGTACATTCTATCATGCTTTGCATGGCACAACTTCTAAGTGATATTAAGGTGGTCTATGACTCACAACACTGGATTACAATGACCTTTCCTATTAGACGATAAGTGCATTGTTAAAAGTAAACTGAGCTCCTCAACACTTTCTACTGCATAATAATGTTTACTACACATTCATTATCAGGTGTTGTTTCTGAGGTATGCGTTTTAGTAATCTCAATTCATTTCAATTAAATGTGTATTTGGATGGCTTTGGTTAAAACAGTTAGCTGTTGTGTGGGAGATGTACAAATTACATTAATGGGATCATTTGGAGCAATTTACTCTAATGCAATACACTACGAAGCTTAACTCAATGCTTGACTTGATCATAATTGTACACATAGGCTATAGAAAAAGCCACCAAATCATTTACATAACAAAAAAATTAAAGGACCACATTTGATCAAGAGGCATTTAGTGTGACGTCAGGCGCCATTTATCTGACTGTTTAATAGTGTGTCTATGTAAAAGTCCTCTCTGACTTTTACATTGTAACATAAAAAAGAGTGTGCATCCGTGTGTAGGGAATCTAGGAATAATATATTTGATGTGAAATCTGCACTGTATGTATAGGCAGTAGTTGGGCATTTTAATGAAACCATATAAAACAGGTTTCCAAGGACAAGGTATCAAAACATTGGACATGTTGCCTAGCCCGGGTCCTTACCCCATGTCTGGCCCAATGAGGGAGTGTCTCCGGAGCATGGCGCGGGCCTGTGCATTGGTCAGGTTGGCCGTGGCCTCGCCGTTGATGGCCAGGATGAGGTCCCCCACCCCCAGACGGCCGTCTCGGCTGATGGAGCCTCCGTGGATGATGCTGCGGATGTGCATCCCCAAGCCATCCTTGACAGCGCTCACCGTCATCCCTGTAAGGTAGATACAAAGACAACATTCTCAAAGATCTGGAACATTTATATGTAATGTGTTCAATCTTTAATCATTTGTTAATAATGTTGATGCGCTGGAGATTCACATAGTTAATATCATAATTAATATCCAACAACCTTAACAGACAGAAAGACCATAATGCATCAGATATTGCATTATTTACATACAATTCTGGGGTGTAAAGAGGAAAGATTGATTAAAAAGTGAATACTGTTCTCTTCACAACAATTTCTCATCAGGGCTGACAATTAAAAAAAGAAATATAGGAATATACAACATAGTGCCAAAGAATTAATACAAACCGAGACTGGAGTTGCCCTTGACAACAGTGATTGTCCTTTCAAAGTTACTCCCAGTGGTTCTAATCTTGTCCCCTTCCTCTTTGGACTGCTTTACAGATGGCTCATCCCCCTTGAGAATAATGATTCAATAAAAAGTATTCATGAAACACATTTTTAAATATTTTCTATGGTACAAAACGTAAAAATGAATAATTGTGACAGAATGAGATTGAGGTCAAATTAGAAAATATTTTCTATGGAGGAAGTTTTGGTACAACATTTTAAAACTAATAATTGTGACAGAATAAGATAGAGTTAATCTATACTACCAGGGAGGTTACGTGGGAACAATTAGCCAAGGAATCAAACATACAAAGTAAGGAAGGGAATCATCTTAAATTATTTTCTGTTATGCCGTCACCTTGGGCATGTAATACCTAAAAATGTTAATTCTAGTAAAAAGTAGAATGTTTAAAACTGGTTGGGTTATTAGCTATTATTCTCGTAAATCCAATTACATTTCACATTGGCCTGTGATGAGTCCACTGCATTTCAACATTTGTTAAACGTAACTTCTTGCATTTCAATTTCCTGATCATTGCTGTTGACCGATTTACTCATGCTTGTTTGATTATGAAGCACACTTAATGACATTCGATGGCCAAGCGACAGATGGCACAGCTCTTTAGATGAAGGCTTGTTTACCTTCATTAAGCCGTCCATCTCCCCTATGTCCGCAATCGCCATGGTGGGCTCCACCGGAAAATGGAGAGACTGCATCGGCTCCCCCAAATCATTCAAACCGGAGTCAGTGTACGGACTGTAGGAGTTCGACAGATCCGCCGGCTCCATTTGGGTTAAGTGATGCGCCAGGTACTGATCGGAGCTAGCTAGTGCGTTGTTGTCAATCATTAGGGAGTGACTTCCAATACTCCTGGGCAGGGGGAAAGCGATGGGCTTCTCCTCCGGGGAGAAGGGTTCGGTGACGTCTGCGAGGCCGGACAACATCACAAAGGGGTGTTCGGTCAACAAGTCCAGACGAGCACTCCGCTATGTAGGTAAAACAAACCAGACGAGCCAAAATGGAGGTTACACCTCGTTAGTTTCACAATCACCCAACTGGGGGATTTCGTCTACCTCAGTCGCCGCTCTGCACTCCTCGTAATGAGCCATTGAAAAGCCATCAGTGACAGACGGGGAATAGTGATAATTACAGATTATCCTGTTTTAGAGTGTGCGTTGCACCCAATATTTCTTTATTATCTCCCTAGATATATTTCATGAGGCCCGAACTGTGTGGCAATGAATCTCTTCAGCGGTTCCTTAAGCATCCGAGATGGCAATATGAAACTTGGAAAAAGAAATCCCTAGGAGAGGAAACTATTTGGAAGAACTGCAACAAGCAGAAATGCTGAGAGCAGGACTGAGGCACGCAATGGACCATTTAATTCTAATAGGGTAGTAACATCTTGTTAAGGTGCAGTGCAATATATAGGTAGATACTAATCTAAAAAAACCCTCTGGGGATAGCACTCCAGGAAGAGACAAAGATCTACAACAAAAACAGGCAACATACAGTACATACAAAGGGGTTAACAACAAAATAAACATTGTATCACTTCAATATAGCTGCCAGTTTGAAGAAGTCAAATAATTAAAGATAGCACAGTACTTTTAAAGTCAACCTTGTATGGTAAAATAAGCTATTTATTTTGATTACGTGAGGAGTTTTCTTAGTGAAAAGGGCAGCAGCTTGCAATTGCTCTAATGAAATTCAAACTAATGAGATGACCATACTGATACTGCTTTTGCTTTGTAACAAGCTTTCAAAAATTGCTGACTGTAATGGCTTTAAAATGGACTCAGCTAGCCACAGTGCAAGTTTGTTGGCCTACCTTGGGTGTGGAGGACTGCAAGATCATCTGGTAGGACAGGTCAGCGCTGCAGGTGCTGCCGTGGAGGGCGATCAAGGATGCTTGGAAGGTGTCATCCTCCTCGCCAGAGAAGCGATGCTCCAACACCCTCTCATCGGTCAGGTCTGCCTCATTGGAGTCAATCTGCATTAAAGTAGTGAATTGGATGGGGAATATGTCTCTATTCCATGGGTGAGCTATCCAATCACGGATAGCTGTGTGAGTGCCATGAGAGCCATTTCAAAACAATATTTTGTTTTTTGTTGATCGAATGTGATTAGAGTTACGAATGAAATTAAATGTACTTGATAGAATATTTTAAAGGACACATTTTAGAAGTCACAATGGTTACTTTGTGTCTAATTTTGATTGGTTGTTTTTTTCCCTTGTCCCTCAATTTCAATGGTCGGTTTGACATGTCCCCAACGGCGACTAACCAATGCAGGCTCTGCCCAGAAAAGGTGGCCCTCTGCTGGCTCCTCTTCTCTCTCTTTAACCAGCAGAGTGTTGAAGATAAAAGAACAGATTCCCGAGGATGACGACGGACTGCCCTCTTCATTGTACGGCTGTGGAGACAGGGCTGTAATTGGAAAATATCTGGAAATTCCCAGAAAATAATACTGAGGAAATTCCAATCATTGTCTACAAATTTCAAGTCAAATTTGATTGGAGTTGTTAAACAATGTAGTTGAGGTTGTTAGTAGCGAAAGGAGTGTGAGTCTTATTGGTTTGATTTGGTTTCCATGGATTGGTCTCTACTTTGGTAATAGTTTGGTGACAAGTTGTACTTGGTTATTTGATTTCCAAAGGACTTCAAAAGACATCCTTTCTTGGAGTTTGCCACAGATCGCTTTAAATGGACCGTTTGATCTTGATTGTATCTAGCGCGATGCCCGGCGAGCGAGAGATATAGAGAAAAGAGGGAGAGATTGGAGACGGTATTAGAGGCTTATACCAGTCAAACTCAATTTTGAGAAGCAATCCAACAAAAATGAGCTGCAGGAGAGCTCGATAACTCCACAGAGGCTTCACAAAAACAATGTAATCCACCAGACCTACAACAACCTTGACACGAGAGCTAGAACCTACTGTACATTCTCATCATAATCCAATGGCAAGCCCAAGAGAGAGAAATCTAACTCTAAAGCTGAAAGAATGCAACCAATTTTCACAGAAAACACACAAAGATTAGACTAGAAATCCCTCAGGTGGTAAATATGTTTGTGGGAAAACCCTTATTTTGACAGCTGTCCCAATGCATTTATGTACACAGAGTCCAAGGTGCCTCAAAATGCAATAATAAAGCAATATGACACAAAAGGCAGGGATGTTTGTGCTGCCTTATGCTGTTGTCTGGGAGCTTGGAGGTGAGTATGTCAGCAAGAAAAATTCAAGACATCAGTAAGATGAGCCCTCATTTTTGGGTGGCCACACACACCGGACAGAAAACGCACACAAATGCTGAGTGCCCACACACACAAACGCTCACATACAGTGAGCTCCAAAAGTATTGGGACAGTGACATGTTCTGTACTCTCGCACTTTGATTTGAAATCATACAGAGACTATGAGGTTAAGGTGCAGACTGTCAGCTTTAATTTGAGGGTATTTCTATCCATATCGGGTGAACCGTTTAGAAATTACAGCACTTTTTGTACATGTTCCCCCCATTTTAGAGGAACAAAAGTATTGGGACAAATTCACTTACGTGTATTAAAGTAGTCAAAAGTTTAGTATTTGGTCCCATATTCCTAGCACGCAATGATGACTTTTGGTCCCCTAAAATGTACAGTTAGTGCTGTAATTTCTAAACGGTTCACCCGATATGGATGAAAATGCCATCAAATTAAAGCTGTCAGTCTGCACTTTAACCCCATAGTCATTGTATCCTTTCAAATCCAAAGTGCTGGAGTACAGAGCCAAAATAAAACTAAAATGGTCACTGTCCCAATACCTTTGGAGTTCACTGTACATCACACACACGCCTCACTAGTCTCGCTATAGGACAGACGTCACAATAGGGTTTCCTTACAGGCAGTGGCTTGGCCACCCCGATGTGGACCTTGCCGATGTCGGCCCCCTTCAATGCCTGGACGGCGTCCTCCAGACTGGCATTGTCCAGGTTGGTGCTGTTGACGAACATGAGCCGGTCACCTGGCAACAGCCTGCCATCCTGTTCCGCCACTCCTTCGGACACCAGAGAGCGAATCACGATCACCGTCTTGGCCGGATCAATTGGGTCCTACGACAAGATCTGTGTCAGTAATGTCAATGGATGCACTCAACAGATAATCCAATACAGCAACAAGGACTAAAATGTATAATGCACTTTTATTTGGAGGATTTGTTTATTCTGAATGTTCTGTATATGACAAGTTATTACTTTTAACAAAAATAAGAGTAAGCAATTTAGTTTCAATCTACATGGAAAAACACAGCGCATTTAGTGTATTGAGTCACTTATGCTTTTTGCTGAACTTAATTTCCCAGAGGGCAACGGTCCTAAAGCTCACATGACCACTTCCTCCCAAAGTACGAAGACAGGTACAACCCACAACAACAACTATTTGAAGTGAATGATGATGAAATAAGTAAATTCAATCATTTGCAAAAATCACATACGCTTGACTAGCAAGTATCATTCCTATGATAATCATTCCCAGAATTCCCATTCAGAATTCTCACCTGGTAGTCCAAGATGCTGAATCCCAGTCCACTCTCTCCCTTCTCTAGCTCAATGTCCTGTATCTCCGTCTCCCACATGGCCAAAGGAGCTCCGAGTGTCTCCTCCGTTACATTTTCCTTCGTTGCCACCCCCTCGGAACCTTCGGAAACCAGGAAACTGCTGAGGTCTCCCTGTATCTGCAGAGATAAATCCTCGATATCATACCAGCACACGCATTCCTTACTAACTCCGAGCCCATAGGCTGCTGGTTCTCCGCTAGTGCCGTTTCGTAAGTTTTTTGGCAGCACATTAAAGGGAATCTTTGGTTGCTAGGCAGAAGTGCTGTATGTTGTATTTTTTCCCTAAACTGAGGCATCTGATGAGCTGAGGAGAAATCCAAAATCCAAAGGCAGGTTTCCATTGAAGGTTAGCTTTGTGTAGCTCCCTGGCTACTATCGCCTATATCTCATGCATTGTCACAGTACCTGAGGTATTACTTTAGATGGATTGGTGTTAATAAACAGTCACTGTCCTTCCTAATCCTAAATCTTAATCCGTCATCGTTGCCAAACTGGAGGCCCGGCAGAGCATTGGACAGACTGTGTTAAACTAATGAGGGTGGATGAGTGAAGTAGGAGGACCAATCATATTAGTCATTCAATATCAAGGGGTGGGGGAAAACACGGTTTACTGTATGCTACTGTATGTCCAACACCCACCATTTTGTGAAGGACTTTCTGGCTTAACCTTCAGTTGTTTTCAAATCACTTCCTGAACAACTCACTTGCTGAAAATAACAAAAGATATATGACTGAATTTAAATCTGAATTGACCCCAACCATGCATGTTAGATTGCATTATGTTTAGGCTAGTAAGCAATGATTATTGCCATGACAGTTACTGGAACATTGACCGTTTCAAAAATACAGTGCATTCGGAAAGTATTCAGACCCCTTGACTTGTTCCCATTGTTACGTTACAGCATTATTCTAAAATGGATTAAATAGTTTTTTTTCCCATCAATCTACACACAATACCCATAATGACAAAGCAAACACAGGTTTTTAGATTTATTTGCACAAAAAAAAACAACACTGAAATATGTTATATTCAGACACATTACTCAGTACTTTGTTGAAGCACCTTTGGCAGCAATTACAGCCTTGAGTCTTCTTGAGTATGATGCTACAAGATTGGCACACCTGTATTTGGGGAGTTTCTCCCATTCTTCTCTGCAGATCCTCTCAAGCTCTGTCAGGTTGGATGGAGAGCGTCGCTGCACAGCTATTTTCAGGTCTCTACAGAGATGTTTGATCGGGTTCAAGTCCAAGCTCTGGCTGGGCCACTCAAGGACATTGAGAGACTTGTCCCGAAGCCACTCCTGCGTTGTCTTGGCTGTGTGCTTAGGGTCGTTGTCCTGTTGGAAGGTGTACGTTCCCCACAGTCTGATGTCCTGAGCGCTCTGGAGCAGGTTTTCATCAAGGATCTCTCTGTACTTTGCTCCGTTCATATTTCCCTCGATCCTGACTAGTCTCCCAGTCCCTGCCACTGAAAAACATCGCCACAGCATGATGCTGCCACCACCATGCTTCACCGTCGGGATGGTGCCAGGTTCCCTCCAGACGTGACGCTTGGCATTCAGGCCAAAGAGTTCAATCTTGGTTTCATCAGACCAGAGAATCTTGTTTCTCATAGTCTGAGAGTCTTTAGGTGGCTTTTGGCAAACTCCAAGCGAGCTGTCATGTGCCTTTTACTGAGGAATGGCTTCCGTCTGGCCACTCAACCATGAAGGCCTGATTGGTGGAGTGCTGCAGAGATGGTTGTCCTTCTGGAATGTTCTCCCAAACTTGTGGTTCTGGTGGTTCCAAACTTCTTCCATTTAAGAATGATGGAGGTCACTGTGTTCTTGGGAATCTTCAATGCTGCAGACATGTTTTGGTACCCTTCCCCAGATCTGTGCCTCGACACAATCCTGTCTCGGAGCTCTACGGACAATTCCTTTGTCCTCATGGCTTGGTTTTCTTCTCTGACATGCACTGTCAACTGTGGGACCTTATATAGACAGGTGTGTCCCTTTCCAAATCATGTCCAATCAATTGAACTTAACACATGTGGACTCCAATCAAGTCGTAGAAACATCAAGGATGATCAATGGAAACCGGATGCACCTGAGCTCAATTTCAAATCTCATAGCAAAGGGTTTAAATACTTAAGTAAATAAGGTACTTACGTTTTTTATTTTTAATACATTTGCAAAGATTTCTGCAAACCTGTTTTCACTTTGTCATTATGGGGTATTGTGTGTATATTGATGAGGGAAAAAAATAATGTAATGCATTTTAGAATAAGGCTGTAAAGTAACAAAATGTGGAAAAAGTCGAGGGATCTGAATACTTTCCGAATGCACTGTATGTAATAATGCCGATGTCAATAGCATCTACAGGTAACTGCCAAAATAAAGGAAACACTTGAGTAAATGAAGGATAAAAAGTATATTGAAAGCAGATGCTTCCACATAGGTAATTTTGCTGTTTGCTTGAGTAATTGGAGATGGAAGGGAATTCCTTTGCTAGGTCGTCTTTGCTGCACTTGACCATATTACCGGACAGTAATCAAGATGGGACAAGACCAGGGCCTGAACAACTAGTACAGTTGATTTTTGTTTCAAAAACGCAGCTCTTTTTATAAACAGACATACCCCTCCTGATCTTCATAACAACTTTGTCAATATGACTTGACCATGATAATTGACCATCCAATGTTATACCTAGGAGTTTAGCTTCCTCAACTTGCTCAATGGTCACACCCTTTATGCACAACTCCAGTTGATGTTTAAGCATTCTATTTGGTTCAAAACATTCTCTAAGTTTTAGATGACCCATTCTGATACTGACCATAACTTCTTATTTAGAATTTCTGTGAGCTCACTGCCTTTGGTTGCTAACATGTAAAAGTGTGGAATCATCCGCATACAGTCATTCTAGCTTCATGTAAGACCAGTGGCAAATCATTTGTAAAAATCGAAAAGAGTAATGGCCCAAGGCAACTACCCTGAGGGACACCGCACTATACATATCTGATGTTAGAAAAGCTTCCATTGAAGAACACTCTCTGGGTTCTATTGGTTAAATAACTCTCCAACCATGTGATGGCAAGTGATGTAAAGCCATAGCAGGTGAGTTTTTTAAATAATAATTTATTATCAATAACCTCAAAGGAGCGTAGGGAATGTACCTTCATTTTCGGTTCAGTGGCAAATTCATCCAACCCTGGTTGGCCAGAATCCCTGTCACTCTTTAGGAGAGGGGCGGACCTACAGCAGGCCATGTAGACACAGACAGGCAGCTCCTTCAGAATGTTCACCACTTCCTTGTGGGTCTCACCAATCAGGGATATTCCATTGACCTGAATGGAGAGGGGTGGGCACACACATCCAATGGTTAACACTTATGTTGTGTCACTCATTGCGGTTTTTAAAGGCACTGTTCCCGCAGAGATCCTATTCACGGTAAACTCTGCATTTGTCGGCTCAATCTGAAATTGCCTTTAAAAGCTGCAACCCGCGATCGGATTGAATAAAGGCCTAAATGTTTTCGATTAAGATTCAAAAGAGCAGGAACTGTGACTAAATATTCCTATCAATATTTTAGGGTCATTTCTGGAAGAAAAAAAATGGCTAGGTTTTTATTTGTATGCAATACATTCTAGTTTGTTCACTATTATTTTTTGCGTAGTGAAAACATCTTAGTAACATATCCAAGGAATTGAGGCACCTTCAAATTTGATATCAGTGGTGGAAGAATTAGTGCAGTAAGTTAGTTCCAGGCTAAATGTTGTTCACCATGTTCTCGCTATTGGCGGTACCCCTTACCTCAAGCAGTTCGTCCCCACTGAAGAGTTTCCCACAGCATCCCACTGGCCCCTCCGGCAGGACGGAGCGAATGTAGTGGTGCCCGTTGTTGGCCTCCAGACTGATGCCCAGACCACTGCTCTCACTGAACTTCTCCACCTGGGCAACCTGTCATGGGCATGGGCACAACAGGTGGGCAAACTCTGTTGGTACGAAAATACTATTCACCTTTTTCAGAAAATTATGCTTTCACACATTTTATAAAATTGTCCTATAATGGTCAGCATTCAAATGACCTAGTGTGGCAATATGGTTGATGATTTTTTTTTTTATGAACAATGTTTTTATAGACATTTTCCATTTAGAACACATACAATAATGTTTTTATTCTGCAACCAGTGCTTGTCCATCCATAAAACGGCAAGAGAACGTGTAAAACAGGAAAAAGTACAACCATGTATCATTTAGTAGAGACAGGCTGTGTTTGGGTGGATGTTACTTCTGTTAACTCACAACTACTTTGTTGCTGGGGCCGAGAGTCTCCTGCCACCTCTTCATCAGCTCCAACTCTTCATCCTCTGTTAGCTTTGCTTCTTAAAAACATCAATATAACATACACTGAGTGTACAAAACATTAGGAAGACTTGCTCTTTCCATTACATAGACTGACCAGGTGAAAGCTATGATCCCTTATTGATGTCACCTGTTGAATCCACTTCAATCAGTGTAGATGAAAGGGAGGAGACCGGTTAAATGTGTATTTTTAAGCCTTGAGACAATTGAGACATGGATTGTGTAAGTGAACCATTCAGAGGGTGAATGGGCAAGACAAAATATTTAAGTGCCTTTGAACGGGGTAGGTGCCAGGCGCACCGGATGGTATCAAGAACTGCAATGCTGCTGGGTTTTTCATGCTCAACAGTTTCCTGTGTGTATTAAGAATGGTCCACCAACCAAAGGACATCCAGCCAACTTAACACAACTGTGGGAAGCATTAGAGTCAACATGGGCCAGCATCCCTTTGGAAAGCTTTCGACACCTTGTAGTCCATCCCCTGAAGAATTGAGGCTGTTATGAGGGCAAAAGGGGGTGCAACTCAATATTAGAAAGGTGCTCCTAATGTTTTGTACACTCAGTGTAGACTTAAATAGAATATGAAGTTTCAAGTACATTCAACCAACTACTATGTCCCATCTGATTGATTCAGACTCAATGACTCACAGCAAGCGGTAGGCTACAGTTAGACAACTCCAAAATGCCCTACTTGAAAGAGTTTGGTGTTACTGTAAGAACCACTTCAAAGGCATCTTTCGTTTACCCTTTTATGTGAAGAAAATCTGTATTTATTTGCCACTGAAGTGCCTTCAGAAAGTATTCAGACCCCTTGACTTTTTCCACTTCTTGTTACAGCCTTATTCTAAAATGATTAAATTCATTTTTTCCCTTATCAATCTACACACAATACCCTATAATGACAAAATGAAAACAGGTGTTTAGACATTTCAGCAAACGTATTAAAAATAAGTATTCAAACCTTTTGCTATGAGACTCGAAATTGAGCTTAGGTCCATCCTGTTTCCATTGATCATCCTTGAGATGTTTCTACAACTTGATTGGAGTCCACCTGTGGTAAGTTCAATTGATTGGACATGATTTGGAAAGGGACACACCTGTCTATATAAGGTCCCACAGTTGACAGTGCATGTCAGAGAAAAAACCAAGCCATGAGGAATTGTACGTAGAACTCCGAGACAGGATTGTGTCGAGGCACAGATCTGGGGAAGGGTACCAAAAACATTATGCAGCATTGAAGGTCCCCAAGAACACAGTGGCCTCAATTATTCTTAAATGGAAGACGTTTGGAACCACCAAGACTCTTCCTAGAGCTGGCTGCCTGGCCAAACTGAGCAATCGGGGGAGAAGGGACTTGGTCAGGGAGGTGACCAAGAACCCGTTGGTCACTCTGATAGAGCTCCAGAGTTCCTCTGTGGAGACGGGAGAACATTTACATTTTTACATTTACGTTAAGAACCTTCCAGAAGGACAACTATCTCTGCAGCACTCCACCAATCAGGCCTTTATGGTAGAGTGGCCAGACGGAAGCCATTCCTCAGTAAAAGGCACATGACAGCTCGCTTGGAGTTTGCCAAAAGTCACCTAAAGACTCTCAGACCATGAGAAACAAGATTCTCTGGTCTGATGAAACCACGTCTGGAGGAAACCTGGCACCATCCCTAAGTTGAAGCATGGTGGTGGCAGCATCATGCTGTGGGGATGTTTTTCAGCGGCAGGGACTGAGAGACTAGTAAGGATCGAGGAAAAGATTAACGGAGCAAAGTACAGAGAGAGCCTTGATGAAACCTGCTCCAGAGCGCTCAGGACATCAGACTGGGGGGAACGTACACCTTCCAACAGGACAACGACCCTAAGCACACAGCCAAGACAACACAGGAGTGGCTTCGGAACAAGTCTCTGAATGTCCTTGAGTGGCCCAGCCAGAGCCCGGACTTGAACCCGATCGAACATCTCTGGAGAGACCTGAAAATAGCTGTCCAGCGACGCTCCCCATCTAACCTGAGAGAGCTAGAGAGGATCTGCAGAGAAGAATGGGAGAAACTCCCCAAATATTGGTGTGCCAAGCTTGTAGCGTCCTACCCAAGAAGACTCAAGGCTGTAATCACTGCCAAAAGTGCTTCAACAAAGTACTGAGTAAAGGGTCTGAATACTTATGTAAATTATATATTTCAAAATTTTTTGTATATACATTTGCAAACATTTCTAAAAAAACGGTTTTTGCTTTGTCATTATGGGGTATTGTGTGTAGATTGATGAGGGGGGAAAAAAACAATTTAATCTATTTTAGAATAAAGCTGTAACGTAACAAAATGTGGAAAAAGTCAAGGGGTCTGAATACTTTCTGAAGGAACTGTATTATGGAGAAAATTTATATTTGAAATGTGTGGCAACACTTCATGTGGATAGTCCATCTGTAGATGCTCAACAAACTATCCACAGACAATCAAAAACATGTCAACAACATTTCTGTTGAATTACAACAGGGAAAACATCTATAGACATGCATTGATAGTTTGTTGAGCATCTACAGATGGACTGGTTCAATTATTTTGAAATGCACAGTAGCCTAAAACCAGTCCTCACGACAATAGCATATTTTAAACAGATTCCAATCCATTAGCTATCCTTAGTAAAGGACCCCAGATAACAGGGGAGTGGATTCACTTACCGTCTCTGGTGTTCTCAGTTAACTGATCCTTCACGTTGGTGACATCCGATTCCCCACTCAATACCTGGTACTGTTTCTCACCTGCACCGGGGTACACAATATACACACGTCAATACACACATACACATCTTGCTCCTAGCCAGAACATGGTGGTTATGTCGTAAGGGGTTGTGTTATAAATGGGCATTGTGTGTGTGAGTGTGCGTAAGAGTGTGTGTGAGTGTGCATGCACGTGTGTGTTTGTACTTTTAGATGTGTGTATTGTTGTAAATTGTTAGATATTACTGCACTGTTGGAGCTTGGAACACAAGCATTTCGCTACACCCGCAATAACATCTGCTAAATATATGTATGCGACCAATAAAATTGGATTTGATTTGATTTTGTCATGCATTTTCCTACGCTTATGTTTACTGGGGTTCGTATGAGGCTGGCCCAATTACAGGTTAAAGGAGTTCAGGGTTTCCTAAAGCAGGGCGGAGTGCGCTGCCTTCTAAATCTGGAGCTGTGGTTGTGGTGAGAAGATACAAGTAGAAAGAAGCTTCACCATCCTTACGTAGATGGAGGTCATTAAAGTTAGGGCAATGTTGTGGTATGTGAACTTTCCTCAAGTGGGCACAGCCCTGCAGGGTCCCCAGGGATGTGATCAGGGGCTGAATGTATCAAGCTTCTCAGAATAGAAGTACTTCCCTGTCCATGGAAACTTAATCATTGCAATCTAAAAGGCAAAACTGAACCTAAATCAGAACTCTGAAACACTTGATACATACGGACTACATAGAAATCAGGTCAATCTGGCTAAGGGATAGGTCCATTTCTATCATGTATGAATGGAGGATAATGTTGGAGTAGGAATTCCTGATTAACCCAGAAAAATCCCATCCCATCCCTTGATTACAGTTGGGCTGTATTCTCAGCTAAATGGAATACAGTATGTGGAATATGCAATAAATATATGCACTGTCAATCAAAGATGCAGTTGTCAAGGTCATGTTCATTAGGGCACGCCATTGAAAACGTTTTAAAATGCTTTGCAACAGAAAACCAAATTGAGTGTGTTTTTTTATTGGACAAATCCAGGTAGCCCAAACCCTTTGTCCAGAGGTACCTTCAGTGGTGGCGTCCACAACATCCGTTCTCTCCAGTGTGGGGTCTCTGCCCCCTGGGGTTGGTGAGACTACGATCACACTGGGCACCACAGCAGGTGGGATGTCCTCTGGACGGAAGCCTCGCCTGATCAGCTTCAGGTGAACAGTCTGGCCCGTGTGTCTCAGCACCTCCACGGCCTGCTGGTTGGTGTAGCCCTGGATGTTATTACTGTCCACCTGCAGGGGGCGATCATCCATGTCATGATTATGGATATATCATGGAGATGAATAGAGGGCTCTTCTTTGCATCTTTGTTATATTGGCTTCTGTGACAGCATGGACAGCATCAACGAGGGCTTTCTCCGTACTTAAACAGGCTTTGTGGCACGTGAGTTGTATATCCAAGTCTATAGGATACATTCTCAGGACAACACAAACAGGAAAGCAAGCTCACAGGCACATCCATACCAGGCACACCCGTACCAGGCACACCCATACCAGGCACACCCATACACACAAAAATGGTTGCACCCAATAGACAAACCTACATCACAACAAGAAAACAAATCATGATGGAAGATTTGCTCATGCTTCAAATCCATTAATTTATTCAGGATGTAACACAGAAAGTGTTTTGCATTAATTGTAAATGCTCAATTTAGGGTCATGACTAGGGCTGTGGCAGTCATGAAATTGTCAGCCGGTGATTGTCAAGCCGATCTCACGGTAATTGACTGTTAATTAACATAAACACATTTAGCATCTCCTGGCTTCCACGCATAACCTACAAGCCACTGATTCAGACCTTTGGAACATCTACATTTAAAAAAGTCTAATAAATCAATTTAATATAGCCTACACCATCACAATAAATCCATTATGTATTTTAAAGAAAAATGTAGTATATTTCAGAAGAACAGAATAGCATACTCTGAGTTGTCCTTATGTTAGGCCCTGATCTGGCTCTGACCTGGCTATGCCATATGGCTGTGGGCTACACTAGTTTATTTAGCAGACAAGAGTTGCTTAGAATTCCGTGGCATTATTTAATAGTATTAAGAATACAATTGAACATAGCTGAATAAAATAGAAAGGATATTTTCTCCAAAAGATTTCTGAGGGAGTGTGCACATCCAGCTATTCTGTGTTGAGCATTTAACAAAGAAACAGGTACTCCTATATGCTTAATTTAGAGTTTTTTTTAAAACTTTAGCTGTGATCAAAACATATAGCCTAAGGCTGCATGATGCGACTCTAATGATGATTTGAAAAAAGTTGCATGATGATTTGAAAAAAGTTGCATGAAAGGCATGAGCTCTGCTTTGTTTTCTGAGCAGACGGCACACACTTCATCAGTCTCTCATTCACAATTTGACAAGCACTTGACAATGCCTCAAATTTCACGGCGGCATCCCCTTTGTGTGGCCATAATGCCCCCCCAAAAATCATGCCTTTTGCGGCCAGTGGCCGTTGTGCCCTTGGGCTGAATATAATAATTATAATACCCTTTTCCCAGCTACGTGCTCCAAAGCACCCCTCACTCACATGACTCTCTCAGATTGCTAAATTCTTATTAGCCAATACCCGTCACGTGATCAGATCTTTCTAACAGGCTACAAGTGAAGACAGCCAAAAATGCATGTAATGCTTTTATTATTTTTATGAAATGTAAAGCGGATGAATGTGCTTAATTTTAAGGTATTTGGCCACTTTAGTTGTGATACAAACATTATCAAAACATATAGGCCTATGGGCTAGTCTACATGAGGTGTGCGAATATGATTTGAAAAAGTCGCAAAAAAAGGCATGTGCGGTTTCTTGCCTTACTGCACACAAGCTGGGCATAATTCACAAGTGATAATATATAATTTACAAGTGATAGGCTAATATTGTCACCCATCATCACTGTTCTTGATGTAATCTTGTCTTTACATATACTAAATAATATTTGTGTGAAATTTGTTTTGATTTAGAATGGACCATTTTCATGCACCTGTCTCGAAACATGGGCAAAAAATGAATGTCATCTAAGCACTTAAATAGAGAATGGAGGACGCTTTTCCCGTGGTTCATTTCCATGCCAGCCAGGTAGGCTATACTCCTGTTGTAAAGAGAAGCAATGTGCTTAATATTAGAAAAGTTGATAAAATAAATATAGTAGGTCTAGCCTATAGAAAGCTGATGGGATCCTCCACTTTTTAATAGAGGCCATCATTCTGTTTTCTCACGCAATTGCATAGCCTATAGAAATGTTGCGCAACATGAGCTAATGGGCTCCCATGAAGTGGTTGATTAGATATTCGATAACATTTGCATTGATGTCAGAGAGATTAGAGGGACAATAGAGTGTTGAGTACCAGGCAGTTATCAAGTTTGGTAGGCTACTAATGACCATTAGCAGCATCAGAGCTTGGAGAAGCGTAATTACCGTGACTAAATGGTCACATGGAATTTGACTGCCGTCATGACTCATGACCGCCGGTGTGGCGGTAATACGGTCACCGTAACAGCCCTAGCCATGACTGGAACAGTGTGTATAAATCTCGGCTGAAGCCAAATTATTCAAATATGGGGCCTTAATATCTCCCTACATTATCTAAATAGATAAAGCTCCATATTATTCAAAAATGAGAGAAATACCCTTGCACACTTTATTTTATACTTTGGCATGGAATTTAAATTTACATAACAGCTAATAAAAAAATCAGAGGGGTGTGGCCTGGGGGTGTCTAGCGGTTAGGGCTGTTAGTGTTGGCATAGGTTCGAATCTGGCCTACTGCACAACCTCTACCCCACTGTCATTCTCCTTCCCTCTCTATCTGTTCAAGTCAGAAAGTGAAAATAAATTTGTCCAAAAAAATAAAATTAAAAGAGTTGAGGATAGCCTAAGACACTTACGGCTATGATCTGGTCTCCAACATGGATCCGGCCATCTTGCTCTACAGCACTGTCTTTAGTTATACTTTTCACGAAAATACCAGAGGGCTCTGAAAATTGCAAAATAGACACAATGAGCATGTGTGGATAACATTCCTTTAACTGTCAAACTGTATCTGCAGTTTGAGTGTTCTAGAGAAGTCAGAAACATTCACCATTTCACGAGAAGAGGCAGTGTCACTATATAGCTCTGTGCTCCATACATTCTATGGGACTCTTTAAAGTACATTTCTTCACAAGTGGTTTCATTCCATCCCAAGCAGAGTGAATAAATTAGAAAATAAATAAAACTATTTCTAGTAGTAAACAATGCTGGCAAGTCTTACCAGAATTTTTGTCCCCCACATAGCCGGCGATGGTGATTCCCAGACCCTGGGCATTCTTGGTCAGCCCAACATCGAACGCTTCGGCCTCCTCTTCCTCATATCCCTGTGAATAGAGAGAGGAAGAGTGAGTCAGCTTCTACATTCTACAAAATGGCCGACAGAGAGCACAGTGGAGGGGGCGAGTCGCGGGTGCGGAATTCCCCCAATTCCATGTGCTGTTAGCAATTTACCAACAAGCATTCCTCACCTATGCATCAACTCTGTCAGCCAGATGAGTTATGTTATTTATTTGATCAATGTCAACTAAAAATTGCAATCAAGCAATGGGGTTACTGAGACTGTGTACAGAAAATAATATACAGTCTAGTTTGGGAGTGTTAGTCATGGAATGTTGATAAGGGTCAAGGCTAATACTGCTTGATAATGTACAGCGAATTCCAGTTGTTAGCTTTTGGAACATTGTGACTTCTGAGGCTTCTGAGTCACAGATGTTACGTGTCACAAATTATTCTCATTGGATGCCTATCTCTGAGGGGAAGAGAGATGGAACAAAAGAGAGACAGAACCATGTGCACTTTATCCTAGTCATATGTAAATATAACATTTTAAGGAAACAAACCTAATAAAACCACCTTATCCTCCCCCTTTCCCCCCTACCCATCCACCCAACCACCCCACACAATTGTCTTGTCGTACCTGTTGCTCTGTGACCGTGGGCAACAACATTGGGACGATGGAGGTCTCCTCTGGAGGGCCTCTAGTGATAACCAACTTCACTCTGTTACCACACTGCCTCAGGACCTGGACCAATCACAATACAACTGAGATCAGCACTACACACTAAATATTTTACTTGTCACTTAGGGCTATACTGTATAAAACTATAGGAAAACCAGGACAAAGGTGATAAAAAGGAGACGTTTTTGTCAAGTCTCAGTCAAGTCTCAAAGTCGTACATCCAAAAGTCTCAGACGAGTCTCATTATCAGTAGTCAATTCAATACAAAACTCAGTACCTGAGCCACCTGCTCACTTCCCATGCCATAAAGGTCAGTGTCCCCAATCTTGAGGATGTGGTCCCCACTGCGTAAGTGCCCATCCTAAGTACAAGGTAGGAAAGTCGTTGGTTATTACTAGTAGGTATGGCTTACAAAAACCAATATTCCCACTGGGCACAGGCATCAGTCCAACATAAATTTTTTATTTACATTTGGTTGAGATGTCAACAAACGGGAAATCAACCAAAAATGTCACCATGACATTGAACTTAGGTAAAAAGATGGGTGAATTTTTTCCACCCATATATTGATTACTTTTTGCAAATCCAATCAGTTTTCCACGTTGATTCAACGTCATCACATTGAATTTTTTTGGTTGAAATTACGTGTAAACAACAGGTTCCTGCTTGCAAATCCTCTAAATACCAATGTGTGGTGCATCCATGACATTGAAGTCACCTGATCAGCGACGCCTCCAGGTAGGATGGTTTTGACAATGACACCGGTGGTCTTGCCTCCCACAATGCCAAAGCCCAGGCCTGTCCCGTCATTGACCAGCTCCATTGTCTCCACATGATTCCAGTGGGCCTAAGGAGGGACACAGAGAGTGAGGGTCAGATATGGATCTCAAAACATTCACTACAGGAAGCTTACTATAGGGTGTAACCCTCAGGGCAAAAGAGAGGTTGGCAGTCCAAGGAAAACAAGGACTAATGAAGAGGAAATGAAGAAACATCATTCCAGGAACCACCTGGATGTAAAGAAAACTACCCAGAACAGGGTTCGATAGAGATACACTGTTGAGGCCCTTTGCTCCACAAGGAGCGAGAAGGAATACGTTAAGTATTATTGTGTATGTGTGTGTGCCTCAGTGAACTAACGTTATACAACCGTCTGTGTATGAGGGTTGCTTTTGTGTCTGTGTGTTCCTCATCACGCTAGAGTGGTCATGCATGACGCTAGCTCCCCTGGGAATGTGGGACACCATAGTTTGTGTGTGTGTGTGTGCGCGCAGAATGTGAGTGTGTTCATGTTTGTGTGTGTGCTAATGTGTTTATGTATGCTTCCACAAGCCTCTGTGTGTGCATTCTCCTCACCGCGCTGGAGTGGGCAGACAGGGTGCTGGCAGCGGAGGGGGTACGGGACACCACGGGGCTGGCCAGCTGAGGGATGGGTCCTCTGGCTATGGTGAGCTGCACGTGCTCAGAGGCTCTCTGCAGGATGCCTATGGCCTGCTGGTGGGTCACTGTCTGGTCCAGGGGTTGACCGTTGATGGCCAAGATCTGATCTGACTCCTTCAGCTTCCCATCGCTGTGGGAACAGGAGGATTCTCATGATAAAATATATAATTGACATCAATTAAAGGGATAGTTCACCAAAATTACAGTATGACATCCTGGTTGCTAAAATTCTAATAGTTTGCTTAATTTCAGTTTGTGACAAAATAAGCAAGTATAGTGTAGAGAATTGTAGCATCTAAACCACTGTGAAATATATTTTCCAATTAAACAAAAATATTGAGGCATCAAAATAGCGCACATAGAACAGATCTACCGGTTCTTAAACTTGCTTTTAATGAGAATGACAGATCTATAACACACATTTCTATGTGAATTTGGTCAGGTCGCCCAAAAAGTGACATATTGCAGCTGTAAGTGGTAACTTTTTAGTAGTTTTGTCCAATATGTAATTTTGGGTGAACTATCCCTTTAATGTCTTATATTGTTAAGTTTTCATTGATGACTCAAGGTCAAACCTATTTCATAAGATGCGGTCTCAGTGCAACTAAATTCATTATTGAATAGTTGATTGTCAACAGCTGATTATCTAATGGGCTGTAAAGCTTAGAACTGCGGATAATCTCACTGTTGAAAAGATGCAGGTCGAAAAAGACAGTAGTCATCCACTATGGTCTTGGGGAGATGCAGCGTGGGCAGGCTTTTGTTCCAGCCCAGTACTTACACATCAGATAATCAACTGTTGATTCAGCTGGAATGTGCAAAAACGGGGTTTCTGGTTTTAATGACTTCATTTCAACCAGATTTGTCTGCTACAGGGTGGGCAGGCTTTTGTTCCAGCCCATCACTAACACATTAGATAATCAACGGTTGACCCAGTGGGCAAAACTGGGTTTCTGGTTATAATGATGTCATTTCAACCAGATTAATCTGCTGGGCATGACCCTTGTTAACGTTCCCATACCAGTGGGCCACGCTTCCCGGGCTGGATCTCCTGGACGAAGATGCCCAGCTCCCCACGGTTCTCGCTCCTCAGGCCAACCACGCTGAAGCCCAGACCCCCAGACAGCGGCTTCACCAGCTCCATGTACATCACGTAACGCCCCTAGACACACACGCAGGCACACGCAGGCATATGCACAGACGCACACACACAAATGTACGCATATATATCACACACACAATGTTAGCCCTCCTTCTTACCCCCTCTCCCAGCAGCAGCAAAGACACACACTCTCCTCTGAAGTCTATTTGAAGTCACTCAAGAGTGTACACTAAACACTGCGTAGTGTAGTGTAGTGTAGTGCGCACTTGTCTTTGAATATTTAGCTAGCTTGACCGGGAGTGTAACCAGCCTTGCTTGTGATTATCAAGATATATTTCTGGAGATAATACATTTCTTACAGTCTAGGGATGTGGAGAAATAGTACCACCAACAGCATTTGTGCAAAAGTCAAGTCAGATTACAAACAAAAACAACCAACCATATAAGGAAATATGTACCTCTTAATATATGTGTATCTAAAAGAAAGTTACTTGCTGTGATGACATAACTCAAAATGTATGAAATGCTTGCGTTATATCCAAACAGGTCTTTACCTGAGCCATGGAGCGAATGATGTGCTCAAACTCCTCAGGCGATTGCTTCCCATTGATCTGTGTACTAGTGGAGGCTTCTGGGTAGGCAAGATGGCCACCATTGGCCTGGGCTGATGTGTAGCATTCACTCAGGTCACCGCTAAGTGTTGATGTGACACCACCCTGAAACCATCAATGGAAATACAGTCAACAAGTGTTGCATTCAAGAACTCTAGGTTTTGCAACATTTTGATATATGGCAAACTGTGTAAACTCAGTACTGTTTATAAAAAAGAGCAGCTGCTAAAAGCTGTTGGCTGTTATAGTTTTGAAGTGCTGTTTATTGAATTTGTGGCAGTTGTTTGATTGAAGTTAGACAGACGTGATCACACACACTATAACTAAGTATTTGAAATCAAATATATTCAATGGTGTGACGGTAGGAATTATACATCTCGCCAGAAACAGGCTTAATCCACAAAATTACGGCTTTATTTTTGGATATATCAACACAAACCATGTTTACTTGTCACACTTTGTTACATACATGCATTGCATTGAGTATCACTAATATGCAAAATGAGGCCACACAAGCCGATCCAATCAAGTTCTAACCAAAAACCTGCCATCACTGCTGTTAAAATAAACAGAGGCTAATTTCGTGAATTTCCAAAATCGAACTAAGTCTAGGAGCCTAGGTGCGTGGGAGGCAGGCCAGCTCGTTACCCAACAGTGATTAGCTGGATCTATAGCAGTCCATTCCTTCAGAGATAATAGCCTTTCAGTGGATCCAACAATGACTCTGCCACAATATAATATTTCCATCATAGCCATCTGGATGCCTTGATATGCTACTCAATAAATGGGCTGCAACCACTGTGTTTCTGTGACTAATGGATTACATGAATTAGACAATGTGTAAAACTATGTTTTTGAATCTCATTTGCTTATTGGCTCTAATGTTTGTTTATGATTCATTTGAATGTGATCCAAAAGGACTAGCGCATTGCTTCATAAGCACTTTGTTTGAAATATAGCATCCTTGAATTTGGTTGCCCTTTTGAACTTGTGCTTAGCATATTGACGAAGCATTTTTGACACACTAACTGACATATCATCCAGCCAGTAGCCTATGGTGAGGTTTTAGCCTTTGTAAAGAGAAAAACCCTGCAGGCTAGGCTAAGTTAGCGTAGCGCTCAAGTTGCTGTCCCATACACAAGCTTTGTTAGCCAGCCGGGCTAAGAGGATTAAAGCTCCAGTCTTGCACATTTAAGAATTTGTTTCTGCCCCACTTCACACGGCGGCGGCCTCTCTCTTCTGCGAGCAGGCCCTGTCGCCATAGCGACACTGACAGTGCTAAGCACTACTGGCGGGAGTAGACAGACAGACTATGTGTGGGTCTAGGCATTGACTGACAACAAAAACACTAACTAAATCTTTCCTACAAATTGGTTTTGCCTAAGGAAGCCAGAAAGTATATTTGTATTGCAAGCACTCAGCTTAATCTCTGTTCCTCTAAATTGAATTTACATTATTTAATGTTTTCTTTGATTCACTTTATCTATAAACATAGACTCCATTGCTAATTTATTTTAGCTTAAAAAAACATTAGGGTGGAAGAGCAATAGTTTAGCATGCCACACACACACACACACACACACACACACACACACACACACACACACACACACACAGTTACCCATGCTATACTGTGTGGAATGGATTGTTACATTGTGCTAAGGAATGTGACACTGCTGAAATAAGCTATAAAGCACTGGCACACAAAAAAATGCCTGCAAGGACTTTATAATCTGAATTCCTTCAGGGGTGAAAAAAAAGAAAAGCTGTAGCAGCATCCCTGCCTACCACTGCATAGCTCACATATTTTCTGTCTCAAGCACTCACCCTGACCCTTCCCACAGTGACCTAACCAGAGCTCTTTCTTGGGCAAAAACAAATCTAAATTTCTCATGGGCCCTAGATAAGCCGATGAGGCCTTTTGGCTTTGCCTGGTAGTGTCTGCTTATATAACCTTAATAAAAGTGCCCAGATGAACTCGGACTGCAATATGACCACAGTAATACATGATTTGAGAAGAAAAAAAGCAAAGTCTGTCTGGAGCCTGAATAATTCAATTGGTTTCAATGCAGACCAAATCAAGACTGAAACAGGTAGCAGTAATTTCTTTCATTCTAACTACTAGACATAATAATACTCTTGCAGCAAAGACCATACATGGTCAATCCTGATCTTGAAAGAAGATGGCACATATTTAAAGCTACATTGAAAAGACGAGCTGAGTCTGCAGCTATGCCATTAACACATTTATCTACAATGTGGACAAATATTTAAAGACCAGTTAGGGAGTTGGAATGAGAGATGGGTTGAGGTTAAGTCTATGTTTACTTTATTGGGTCATGTTTATGACCCCCTGTAAGGGTTAGAGTGATGGCTACCCTAACCCTCATTCTTAAAGGGATAGTTCACCCAAATTACAAAAACAATCAATGCATGGATTGCTGTCATACCTTGTCCATAGACTGCTTAGAGGTTAAACCCAGACTCAGTATGTGTCAGTTTCGTCATTTTGTTTACATTTTATATTTTGTTACAAACCAAGGCAAGACGTCATAACATGCTCTAGAGTCTAGGCTACCTGAGTGTTCTTAAGCAGCTGTTGGGCAAGCCACCCTCTGATCAAGATCAACCAGTAGGCCTCTTCTAGTTACAAAAAACATGCAGGCTGCTGTATTATAAAATAACAATTTACAAGTCACCTATTAACATAACAGCAGTAAAATGAAATTCAAATTTACAGAGCTAGACAAAAATATACTGTTATGCAACAATAATAAGGACGACCCTTAGCAACTAGCTAGCCTATGTTGAATTGTAAAATAAATTTGCCATCAAAAGGTTGCAATAGTAAACCAGCTAACAACTCCAGCAAAGTTTGCAAGTGCACATTTTTTTCTTCTTCACTATAGTAGGCTACACCACCGGTTTGCACATTTAGCAACGCTTGAATATATCGACAGCTGTTTGCTAGCCAGCTAAATTAGCTCGCTAGCTTGCTGTGTAACTACTGTACTGTAGTTTCATTTACGAGTAGACAGCTAGCTCAGGCTTTCGCGATTATCATTGGCCCTGTCCACAGCAGCGTGATGCTGGCATTTGTCGTGAGTGAGGAATCCCTGCCTTGCTGAATGAAAATCGCCCACAATTCCAGTTCCCAGATTTATTCAGAAAATCAAGCTAGCGCAACAGAGTAACTTTGTTACAGACCCGCCGGTGTTTTCAAAAAATCCTCTGCTATGAATCATCGGCTGACAGACAGACAGACGGACCTCTTCTTCTGTTGGTTTTATGGCGGACTACATCCCAAAAAGGTGTAGACAGACTGACTGACAGCCAGGAGCCAATATATAAACCGTTACCACACGCATTTGTCAGCTAAATTACACTTTTTTTCTGTATCATTCAACTATCATTTATAATGTCTTGTTTATAATTAGAGGGATATAGAGAGGCCTATTTGTATTGTTGATGTGTTGCTGTAGTAGTGGATGGATCAGAGCAACAGATCATAATTACCTGGAGAAATCTGCCCTGCAATTTGTAAACAAAGCTGCTGTACTTATAACTCATATAAACATATTTTGTATCACTTTGAAGTGACCCAAATGGCAAATTAAGTTTTAATTTATCCATTTCGACATATATTAAACAAAAGAAAATGTGATATTTTATTTGGGACATACTGAGTCTGGCTTTAATGAAACCAATATGTAATTTTGTAATTTGGGAGAACTATCCCTTTAAACTATCTCCATATCCACAGCATGGGATAAACCAGCCCAGTTGACTTGACAATTGCTTCTCCATTTTGCGCTGTTAATGACTGTTAATGACTAGATCATTTCAGACTGTGCCATTTTTGTGCTTATTTTCGATATTATAGTCACATTCTCATTAAATAATCTTAGTATGGTGACAGAATGAGGCTTAGTTCATTTATTTAGACTTCATTTTCAACATACTGATACAGCCTAACTGATAAAACTGCACAGAGTTGATGTGTAAAGGTCAAATAGAGTATGGTCTTGCACTTCACGATATATTGTCAATGTCAAATATCATGATATTCGATTTAATCATATAAAATCAGCCCAACCCTACTGGACACTCCTAAACAACCCAAGTTTAGGTTTCTTGACAATAAAACAGAAAATCAAGAGCTAGTGCCTTCAGAAGGAATTCACACCATTCCACATTTTGTTGTGTTACAAAATGTGATTAAAATGGATATAATTGCCATTTTTTTGTCAATGATCTACACAAAATACTCTGTGATGTCAATGTGGAAGAAAAAATAAAAATAAACACATTAAAATTAAGAATTTAAATAAACACATTAAAAAAAAAATCTATACATGTTAGAATTACCTTTGGCAGTGATTACAGCTGTGAGTCTTTCTGGGTAAGTCTCTCAAGCAGATTTAAGTCAAAACTGTAACTCGGCCACTGTCTTCTTGGTAAGAGTACTCCAGTGTAGATTTGGCCTTGCGTTTTAGGTTATTGTCCTGCTGAAAGGTTAATTAATCTCCCAGTATCTGGTGTAAAGCAGGCTGAACCAGGTCTTCCTCTAGGATTTTGCCTGTGCTTAGCTCCATCCCGTTTCTTTTTTATCCTGAAACACTCCCCAGTCCTTAATGATTACAAGCATACCAATATCATGATGCAGCCACCACTATGCTTGAAAATATGTAGAGTGGTACTCCATAATGTGTTGGATTTTCCCCAAACATAACACTTTGTATTCAGGACAAAAAGTTAATTGCTTTGCCACATTTTTTGCCACACTTTTCACTGTCAATTAGGTTAGTATTGTGGAGTAACTACAATGTTGTTGATCCATCCTCAGTTTTCTCCCATCACTGCCATTACACTCTGTAGATGTTTTAAAGTCACCATTGGCCTCATGGTGAAATCCCTGAGCGGTTTCATTCCTCTCCGGCAACGGAGTTAGGAAGGACGCCTGTATCTTTGTAGTGACTGGGTGTATTGATACACCATCCAAAGTGTAATTAATAACTTCACCATGCTCATAGGGTATTCAATGTCTGCTTCTAATTTTTACCCATCTACCAATAGGTAGATGGGTAAAAATTGGTAAACCTCCCTGATCTTTGTGGTTGAATCTGTGTTTGAAATTCACTGCTCGACTGAGGGACCTTACAGATAATTGTATGTGTAGGCTACAGAGCTACTGTACAGCCGTCTTCATCGACCTGGCTAAGGCTTTTGACTCTGTCAATCACCGCATTCTTATTGGCAGACTAAATAGCCTTGGATTCTCAAATGACTGCCTCGCCTAGTTCACCAACTACATCTCAGATAGAGTTCAATGTGTCAAATCGGAGGGGCTGTTGTCTGGACCTCTGGCAGTCTCTATGGGGGTGCCACAGGGTTCAAATCTCGGGCTGACTCTATTCTCTGTGTATATCAATGATGTCGCTCTTGCTGCTGGTGACTCTCAGATCCACCTCTACGCAGACGACACCATTTTGTATACATCTGGCCCTTCATTGGACACTGTGTTAACAAACCTCCAAACGAGCTTCAATACCATACAACACTCCTTCCGTAGCCTCCAATTGTTCTTAAACACTAGTAAAACTAAATGCATGCTCTTCAATCGAACGCTGCCTGCACCCGCTCGCCCGACTAGAATCACTACTCTCGGCGGGTCTGACTTATAATATGTGGACAACTACAAATACCTAGGTGTCTGGTTAGACCGTAAACTCTCCTTCCAGACTCACATTAAGCATCTCCAATCCAAAGTTAAATATAGAATCGGCTTCTTATTTCGCAACAAAGCCTCCTTCACTCATGCTGCCAAACATGCCCTCGTAAAACTGACTATCCTACCGATCCTTCACTTCGGCGATGTCATTTACAAAATAGCCTCCAACACTCTACTCAGCAAATTGGATGTAGTCTATCACAGTGCCATCCGTTTTGTCACCAAAGCCACATATACTACCCACCATTGTGACCTGTACGCTCTTGTTGGCTGGCCCTCACTGCATATTCGTCGCCAAACCCACTGGCTCCAGGTCATCTATAAATCACTGCTAGGCAAATCCCTGCCTTATCTTAGCTCATTGGTCACCATAGCAACACCCACCTGTAGTATGCGCTCCAGCGGGTATATCTCACTGGTCATCCCCAAAGCCAACACCTCCTTTGACCGCCATTCCTTCCAGTTCTCTGCTGCCAATGACTGGAACGAACTGCAAAAATCTCTGAAGCTGGAGACTCTTATCTCCCTCACTAACTTTAAGCATCAGTTGTCAGAGCAGCTTACCGATCACTGCACCTGTACACAGCCCATCTGTAATTAGCCCACCCAACTACCTCATCCCCATATTGTCATTTATTTTGCTAATTTGCACCCCAGTATCTCTTTTTGCACATCATTTTCTGCACACCTATCACTCCAGTGTTAATACTAAATTGTAATTATTTTGCACTATGGCCTATTTATTACCTTACCTCCATAACTTACTACATTTGCACACACTGTATATAGATTTTCTATTTTTCTACTGTGTTATGAACTGTACATTTTTGTTTATCCCATATGTAACTCTGTGTTGTTGTTTTTATCGCACTGCTTTGCTTTATCTTGGCCAGGTCACAGTTGTAAATGACAACTTGTTCTCAACTGGCTTACCTCGTTAAATAAAGGTTAAATAAAAAAAATAAAAAAAAATTAATGAGGTAGTCATTCAAAAATCATGTTAAACACTATTAAAGCACACAGAGTGAGTCCATGCAACTCATTATGCGTCTTGTTAAGCTCATTTTTACTCCTGAACCTATTTAGGCTTCCACTTTGACATTATGGGGTATTGTGTGTAGGCCAGTAACAAAAAATATCAAATTAATCTATACTGAACAAAGATATAAACGCGACATGCAATAATTTCAACAATATTACTGAGTTACAGTTTATATTTGGAAATCAGTCAATATAAATACAGTGGGGGAAAAAAGTATTTAGTCAGCCACCAATTGTGCAAGTTCTCCCACTTAAAAAGATGAGAGAGGCCTGTAATTTTCATCATAGGTACACGTCAACTATGACAGACAATTTGAGAATTTTTTTCTCCAGAAAATCACATTGTAGGATTTTTTATGAATTTATTTGCAAATTATGGTGGAAAATAAGTATTTGTTAACCTACAAACAAGCAAGATTTCTGGCTCTCACAGACCTGTAACTTCTTCTTTAAGAGGCTCCTCTGTCCTCCACTCGTTACCTGTATTAATGGCACCTGTTTGAACTTGTTATCAGTATAAAAGGGCAGCAGGTAGCTTAGTGGTTAAGAGCGTTGTGCCAGTAACCGAAAGGTCGCTGGTTCTAATCCCTGAGCCGACTAGGTGAAAAATCTGTCGATGTGCCCTTGAGCAAGGCACTTACCCCTAATTGCTCCTGTAAGTCGCTCTGGATAAGAGCGTCTGCTAAATGACGCAAATGTAATGTAAATGTAAAAGACACCTGTCCACAACCTCAAACAGTCACACTCCAAACTCCACTATGGCCAAGACCAAAGAGCTGTCAAAGGACACCAGAAACAAAATTGTAGACCTGCACCAGGCTGGGAAGACTGAATCTGCAATAGGTAAGCAGCTTGGTTTGAAGAAATCAACTGTGGGAGCAATTATTAGGAAATGGAAGACATACAAGACCACTGATAATCTCCCTCGATCTGGGGCTCCACGCAAGATCTCACCCCGTGGGGTCAAAATGATCACAAGAACGGTGAGCAAAAATCCCAGAACCACACGGGGGGACCTAGTGAATGACCTGCAGAGAGCTGGGACCAAAGTAACAAAGCCTACCATCAGTAACACACTACGCCGCCAGGGACTCAAATCCTGCAGTGCAAGACGTGTCCCCTGCTTAAGCCAGAACATGTCCAGGCCCGTCTGAAGTTTGCTAGAGTGCATTTGGATGATCCAGAAGAGGATTGGGAGAATGTCATATGGTCAGATGAAACCAAAATATAACTTTTTGGTAAAAACTCAACTCGTCGTATTTGGAGGACAAAGAATGCTGAGTTGCATCCAAAGAACACCATACCTACTGTGAAGCATGGGGGTGGAAACTTCATGCTTTGGGGCTGTTTTTCTGCAAAGGGACCAGGACGACTGATCCGTGTAAAGGAAATAATGAATGGGGCCATGTATCGTGAGATTTTGAGTGAAAACCTCCTTCCATCAGCAAGGGCATTGAAGATGAAACGTGGCTGGGTCTTTCAGCATGACAATGATCCCAAACACACCGCCCGGGCAATGAAGGAGTGGCTTCGTAAGAAGCATTTCAAGGTCCTGGAGTGGCCTAGCCAGTCTCCAGATCTCAACCCCATAGAAAATCTTTGGAGGGAGTTGAAAGTCCGTGTTGCCCAGCGACAGCCCCAAAACATCACTGCTCTAGAGGAGATCTGCATGGAGGAATGGGCCAAAATACCAGCAACAGTGTGTGAAAACCTTGTGAAGACTTACAGAAAATGTTTGACCTGTGTCATTGCCAACAAAGGGTATATAACAAAGTATTGAGAAACTTTTGTTATTGACCAAATACTTTTTTTCCACCATAATTTGCAAATAAATTCATAAAAAATCCTACAATGTGATTTTCTGGAGAAAAAAAATTCAATTTGTCTGTCATAGTTGACGTGTACCTATGATGAAAATTACAGGCCTCTCTCATCTTTTTTAAGTGGGAGAACTTGCACAATTGGTGGCTGACTAAATACTTTTTTCCCCCACTGTAAATCTATGAATTTCACATGACTGGGAAGGGGCGCAGCCATGGCTGGGCCTGGGAGGGCATAGGCCCACCCACTTGGGAGCCAGGCCCACCTACTGGGGAGCCAGGCCCACCAAATGAGTTTATCCCCACAAAAGGGCCATATTACTGACAGAAATACTCCTCAGTTTCATCAGCTGTCCGGGTGACTGCTCTCAGACGATCCCGCAGGTGAAGAAGCCGGATGTGGAGGTCCTGGGCCGGTTGGACGTACTGACAAATTCTCTAAAACAATGGAGGCGGCTTATGCTGGAGAAATGAACATTCAATGCTCTGCCAATTGCACGCTCCCTCAAAACTTGAGACAAATGTGGCATTGGGTTGTGTGGCAAAAGTGCACATTTTAGAGTGGCCTTTTATTGTCCCCAGCACAAGGTGCACCTGTGTAATGATCATGCTGTTTAATCAGCTTCTTGATATGCCATACCTGTCAGGTGGCTGGATTATCTTGGCAAATGAGAAATGCTCACTAACATGGATGAAAACAAATTTGTGCACAAAATGTGAGAGAAATAAGCTTTTTGTGCATATGGAAAATTTCGGGGATCTTTTATTTCAGCTCATGAAACATGGGACCAACACTTTACATGGTGCATTTATATTTTTGTTCAGTATATTTTAAATTCAGGCTGTTACACAACAAAATGGGGTGTGAATACTTTCTGAAGGCACTGTATATTTGATATTGTTCATCAAAGTTAGCTAACTAACTTAGTGACCCTACATCCCAACACCCCTGTGACCTGATCTTACCCACCTGGTCTTTGAGGAGCTGGACAGACTTCTGAAGGGCCAGAATCTGGTGGAACAGGGGGCTCTGGAGAACCGACTTGAGCAGGCTGAGCTTCTCCTCGGTGGGGACCTCCCCACGCTCCTTTAGCTTGGCCTGGAGACGCTCCACTGCCTGCAAGGCACGCTGGGTATCTGCAAAAGCGTTGCATAGTCCAGTGACCGCATGGGGAGGGAGCAGCGTAGAAAAGAGTGGAAGAGAGATGGGGCAGGGGGATAGCTATCAGTATGAACATGCACGGTGATCAACGCAAGTGTTTTGAAATTGAGTACAGTTAGGAGGTTGACATGCCCCCTTTGACTTCTCTAAAACATCCTGTAATTAAACATCAAAGTGTTCTTATTATGTTGTCAGTGTTTATTTAGGATGGATTGCTGAGATATCAAATTGTATTCATTTCATATGCGCCGAGTACAACAGCTGTAGCCTTTACCGTGAAACGCTTTGTTTACGAGCCCTTCCCAACACAGGAGGTTGGTGGCACCTTAATTGGGGAGGACGGGCCCGTGGTAATGGCTAGAGCAGAATGGTATCAAATACATTAAACACATGGTTTCCATGTGTTTGATGCCATTCCATTTGCTCCAGTCCAGCCATTATTATGAGCCATCCTCCCCTCAGCAGCCTGCACTGCTTCCCAAATATGCAATAAACAATAATAATAAAAAATAAAAGAATTGTAACACAAGGGTACTAAATTACACAAGCTATATACAGGGAGTACCAGTACCAGATCAATGTGCAGGGGTACGCGGTATTTGAGGTAGATATGTACATAAAGGCAGGGTAAAGTGATTAGGCATCAGGATAGATAATAATAATAATAATAATAAGGTATTTGAGGTAGATATGTACATGAAGGCAGGGTAAAGTGACTAGGTATCAGGATAGATCATAATAATAATAATAAGGTATATGAGGTAGATATGTACATAAAGGCAGGGTAAAGTGACGAGGCATCAGGATAGATCATAATAATAATAATAATAATAATAATAATAATAAGGTATTTGAGGTAGATACAGTATGTACATAAAGGCAGGGTAAAGTGACGAGGTATCAGGATAGATCATAATACGAGTAAAATAGAGAACAGAGTAGCAGCAGGCAGCATAGGATGAGTTTAAAAGTGTATGTGTGTGTGCATGTGTATTTGTGTTGTGTCGGTATGCGCGTGTGTGTAATGTGTGTGTGCATATGTACTGTATGTGAATGTGTGTGGGTTTTGTGTGACAGTGCCAATGTAGTATGTGTGAGTGAGTGTGTATATGGTGTGTATATATAATCTAGTGAGTGTGCGTAGGGTCAGTGCAAGATAGGGTCAGTGCAGATAGTTCAGGTACCATTCATTTACTATTTAGCAGTCTGGCTATTTAGCAGTCTTATGGCTTGGGGGTAGAAGCTGTCTCAGAGACTGTTGTTCCGAGAGCCAATGCTTCATTACCATTTGCCAGACGGTAGCAGAGTGAACAGTCTATGGCCTCTAAGGCCTTACTCTGACACTGCCTGATATACTAGACTGTCTGCACCACTCTATGTATAGCTTTGCGGTCCAGGGCGGTGCATTTGCCATACCAAGCGGTGATACAGCCAGTCAAGATGCTCTCGATGGTGCAGCTGTATAACTTTTTGGCGGATCCGTGGACTTTTCAGTCTCTACCGTGCACTCTTCACTAATGTGTGGGTGTGTGTGGACCATGTTAAGTCCTTAGTGATGTGGACACCAACGAATTTGAAGCTCTCGACCCACTCCAGTACAGCGATGTGGATGGGGGCGTGCTCTCCCCTCGTTCTCCTGTAGTCCACGATCAGCTCCTTGGTCTTACTGACGTTGAGGGAGAGGTTGTTGTCCTGGCACCACACTGCTAAGTCTCTGACTTCCTCCCTGTAGGCTGTCTCATTACTGTTGTGTCGTCAGCAAACTTGATGATGGTGTTGGAGTCGTGTGCGGCAACGCAGTCGTGGGTGAAGGGGAGTACAGGAGGGGACTAAGAATACACCCCTGAGGGGCCCAGTGTTGAAGGAATGTGAAGTCTATTCTACTACTGACTTCAGAGTCTTTGTCTACTGTAAGTAACACATGCTCCTGTTGATACACGGAACCAAACATGCTTGCTAATGTGTGAAGCACCATGTGAATGATTCATGGGCAAGGAAAGAGAGAGAGAGGGGAGAGAGAGAGAGAGGAGGGAGAGAGAGAGAGGAGAGAGGAGAGGAGAGGGAGAGACACACATCGACCACCCTGAGGCTTAGCTGAGTTCGACCACTGTTCAACGGAGCTTAGAATATCAGAATCATGTAGCTCTGGCCTTTGCACCAGACAAAAATAAAAAAATAAACATCCATTCAACATGATGTTCTCTTTCAGAATAACAATGATTTGCTGATAGCTTTGGCTCGGCGGAGAGACGCACAGGCCCGGACTGGGCAACCAGAGAAAAAGGGTCCTCCACAGTTTGCTTGCTCGACCCTGCATAAGCTCTTCTCTCGCCTCCTCAAAGCGGCTTGTTAGCCAAGGATGGGTTTGACGTCCTCCGGTTGAGGAGGACGGGGCAATTTTCGAGGCCCGCGGACTGTGACTAACACCTAATAGGGCGTGCACGAGTTCCAAAGCAGAGTTCGTTCTGAGAGCTAGCCCACCTTATGTGCACAGACAGTAAACAAACCAATAACACGAGAGTCTCGACAGACACATTTCTCTGTTAACGGCTTGTACCTTGTTGTTGTTTTTGTAGCTGAGTGTTCAAGCATGCATAACAAGGATTCTCCTCAGGCTCTGTGTTTGTTAAAGAAATAGGTTGATTTTACAATAACAGAGGCCTAGTCCGTTTTTTTAAATGTTTGGATGGGAGATGGGGAGTAAGAGAGAAACAAACAACGTCAATCTAATTCACTCTCTTCATCAAAACATTATCACCTCTCACTCTTTTCATGTTGTGAGACCTTGCACATAACTGACAACATTAGCAATCAACTATTTTCTAACACAAATTGACAGATCACTTACCCATTGTCTCAATCATGTATTTTATTCCCGGTAGATGTGATAGCTGCCTATCAACCGGAGAGTGTTACTCTTCCCGTAGTCAAGGCCTGCAAAATACACATATGTGTTACACACCCTCCATATAAGCACCCCCTATTTGACCTTTGACTTTTGGCCAAATGAATACGACACCAACATGAAACCATGACGAGTGTTGTTGCAATGCTACTTTTGTCAATCATTATCACATTGGCTACTTACTCATTTAATGTTTATATCCGAGTACACTCTGAGAGTGTGTTCTTACTGACTGACAGACAATTAAAACATCTCAGCAGCCTACTCTCTGAATTTTAATTTTTCACAGGACATAAAATATCAAATACAAATTGTTCAGCTAAAGATGCAGGTGCTACAATACTACTAGAAGAAGTAGGTCTTTACTAGGCACATACAGGTTGATGGGGCCTTTGTATTTGACTAATGCTCTTATTGAGGGATTAACATCTGCCAAATTGCCATTCCTGGGGCCTTAATTGACATTGGCAATGGCTTTGTGACATGTACAGTGGGGAAAAAAAGTATTTAGTCAGCCACCAATTGTGCAAGTTCTCCCACTTAAAAAGATGAGAGATGCCTGTAATTTTCATCATAGGTACATGTCAACTATGACAGACAAAATGAGGAAAAAAAATCCAGAAAATCACATTGTAGGATTTTTAATGAATTTATTTGCAAATTATGGTGGAAAATAAGTATTTGGTCACCTACAAACAAGCAAGATTTCTGGCTCTCACAGACCTGTAACTTCTTCTTTAAGAGGCTCCTCTGTCCTCCACTCGTTACCTGTATTAATGGCACCTGTTTGAACTTGTTATCAGTATAAAATACACCTGTCCACAACCTCAAACAGTCACACTCCAAACTCCACTATGGCCAAGACCAAAGAGCTGTCAAAGGACACCAGAAACAAAATTGTAGACCTGCACCAGGCTGGGAAGACTGAATCTGCAATAGGTAAGCAGCTTGGTTTGAAGAAATCAACTGTGGGAGCAATTATTAGGAAATGGAAGACATACAAGACCACTGATAATCTCCCTCGATCTGGGGCTCCACGCAAGATCTCACCCCGTGGGGTCAAAATGATCATAAGAACGGTGAGCAAAAATCCCAGAACCACACGGGGGGACCTAGTGAATGACCTGCAGAGAGCTGGGACCAAAGTAACAAAGCCTACCATCAGTAACACACTACGCCGCCAGGGACTCAAATCCTGCAGTGCCAGACGTGTCCCCCTGCTTAAGCCAGTACATGTCCAGGCCCGTCTGAAGTTTGCTAGAGTGCATTTGGATGATCCAGAAGAGGATTGGGAGAATGTCATATGGTCAGATGAAACTTTTTGGTAAAAACTCAACTCGTCGTGTTTGGAGGACAAAGAATGCTGAGTTGCATCCAAAGAACACCATACCTACTGTGAAGCATGGGGGTGGAAACATCATGCTTTGGGGCTGTTTTTCTGCAAAGGGACCAGGACGACTGATCCGTGTAAAGGAAAGAATGAATGGGGCCATGTATCGTGAGATTTTGAGTGAAAACCTCCTTCCATCAGCAAGGGCATTGAAGATGAAACGTGGCTGGGTCTTTCAGCATGACAATGATCCCAAACACACCGCCCGGGCAACGAAGGAGTGGCTTCGTAAGAAGCATTTCAAGGTCCTGGAGTGGCCTAGCCAGTCTCCAGATCTCAACCCCATAGAAAATCTTTGGAGGGAGTTGAAAGTCCGTGTTGCCCAGCGACAGCCCCAAAACATCACTGCTCTAGAGGAGATCTGCATGGAGGAATGGGCCAAAATACCAGCAACAGTGTGTGAAAACCTTGTGAAGACTTACAGAAAATGTTTGACCTGTGTCATTGCCAACAAAGGGTATATAACAAAGTATTGAGAAACTTTTGTTATTGACTAAATACTTATTTTCCACCATAATTTGCAAATAAATTCATAAAAAATCCTACAATGTGATTTTCTGGATTTTTTCCTCATTTTGTCTGTCATAGTTGACGTGTACCTATGATGAAAATTACAGGCCTCTCTCATCTTTTTAAGTGGGAGAACTTGCACAATTGGTGGCTGACTAAATACTTTTTTTCCCCACTGTATGTCACCACCAGGCATCTGTGTGGCCTAGGCAAAGTCATTTACTATGCATGTTTGGCCAAACAGGCAGGTGTTCTGATTCTATGCTCAGTAGCCTAATCAATAGCCATATCACTTCTCAGTTACTGTAAATCAAGTATTCATTAATACATTCAGAAATAAGTTACCATACCAAGGCACAGTGATGCTTTTAAAACTGAAAGGTTAAGTGATGCAGGTAAAGTCAATGTTCTAATGTGAATGAAATGTATTTTTTTATACAATAATGTACAAAAACCTGGAAGTTAAATATTGCATATTTAGTTTGACTACAGTAAATCGTCTCACTAACTGCTCTGTAACCTTATCATACCCACTCCAGTCATACCATGCATGCAAATTGATAGAAAACAGTTTATTTAATTGCATTTATCCATTATCAATAAGAAGTGGTATGGGGAGGATCTTAATTGTTTGTTGGCACATTATTTAATTTGCGTAAATCCTATATTAGCTCAATAATTAGGTGCAGGTGCATATGCTGAATACCCGAGTCGCATGGCATCATCAGCCATAGAATAGCCTATAGGCCTATCTGTAGGCTATATTTACAGCAAATGTCTATAAACTTACAGACAATAGCAATTTTTGTCACCTAATATAAAAACGAATTTGAAACCAAAATGGAAACAACTTCAAGCTTTATGTAGGGCCTATCACTAGGTTTGGACAAACAGATAGCCTAGCCAATAGGATAATGTTTTCTTGAAGGGGTTTTTGCTAGGGATCCCAGCTAGCACATTTGGTTTCTTGGCAGTTGTGGGAACATACGTTTTTGGTTTCCAATTGGTTCTGGGAACTAAGCTATAAGTTTCCTGACTGGTAAAACGAAAACGTTCTAAGAATGTATGTGAAAATTTCAAAGGAAACAAGCACTCATTAAGATCAGGTGTGGCAAATGAGTGGGTGTGGCCAACACACCTGAACACACTTAACAAGATCGAGGATAGAGTTTTGTTGACGCTGAGAACAGAATGTATAGGTTTTTAAATAACATTCTTACAATGTTCTTTGAATGTTACTAATGTTTTATTGTGGTTTTTATGGAAAGTTTTCTTAATGTTCTGAGAACATGACTTTAAATAGAACCATGAGGAAACGTGTTGGAAATGTTATGCTGAAGTATTGAAATTGAAATGTTGAAATTCCCACAGAATAAAATGGTTTATTAAGCTTCTCTGTACTATTTGAGACCATTCCCAACGTCAAACCAGTTGGAGAACGTTCCTAGAACATCACCAAAATTGGAATTAAATGTAACCATGTTTGCACTTTTAAAAACGATCTGTTAAAGTAATGAAATACCAAGAAAATAACATTTTGTCAAGATCCTTAAATGTGCTGAGAATGTTCCAAAGCCAAGCAACTATCATGCACCATTCCCAGTAAAATCACTGGGGAAGCCAAACCCAAATCCCTACCTCCATCCATGGCTAATTTAGGAAAGGGCCAATTTTAGCAAGCTAGCTACCGAAGGACAACACAGCGAGATGCAACAATTCAAGTTTTTTCTGTCATTTGACGTTTTGCTCTAGATGTGATGTGATTGGTATGAAGCCAAATCCAAAAAGGCTTCAATTGACACTTTTTTTTGGTGCGCCAGGACCATTCACAGTTGAGCTCACTAAGTTTAGCTCAAAGCTGATTGGCTATTATTTTATACTTTATTTTTTATCAAGGGTGGCCAAATGCTCTCTGGCTTCCCTTGCATTCAATGCTACGGGCGGCAACAATCTCATGCTCTTTTTGACCAGACAGCATCAGATAGATGTGCTACACATACAGAGACAGAGGGGCGCTGTTTCGCTCGCTCAGATGCTTTCTCTGGAGAGATAGATTCAGCCTCTTGCGAATTGAAGGAAAATTATGAAACACAGAGAGACAAAAGATAAATTGTCAGGTTTTTTTTCTTGATAATTTTTTTGGGGAAGCCTGGCTTCCCTTAGCATCCATCAATACACGCCACTGGCTCTCACCAAGCTCAAAGAAACGTTATGTGCTAGCTGGGATAGTTATAACTAGGCTATGTATGGATCCATAACCCCACAATAGCATAGTTTTCATTCACCGCTCACTCAAGGCATATTTTTCTAATTGAAATGTGTTTGTACAAGTGTCGGCACTGTATGTTTATACGTTTACATAGTATTATTTTAAATCTAGACTCGCCTCGGCTACAGAAGGCAATGAATACAATCCGCTTTACTCAACTCCCCCTCCTTCTCCATCTCTTCTCCGGGACAGTGAATCAACAGGTTTCCGATATTATCAGAGACGCCAAAGAAGTTGTATCACGTTGTGACAACGTAATGAAACCGCCAAAGTGCTTGAAACATTCCCACAAAACTATAAACGTATAATATAGGCTGTGGCAGAGAAAATGCAGATATCGTCGGAAACATTGAACGCGCGAGCGGCAGAGAACATAGCCTTTACAATAGCAACATTGTCGCTCAAAATCCGAAATCGGAAATCTGCGTTACATATGTATCCGAAACGCCTATTAACTTTTAGCTTGTCAAATGCATTGAAAGTAGTATTATACGAACGAAGGAAACTTACATAGGCGTTGACCCTTGGCTGACGGCTTACACAGGACGTATCCTGTCCTGTTGTACTCCGGCTAACGGCGCATATACTGGGCTTAAAGATGGGGCGTATTGTAACTCGATATTCTATAGACATTTGCAGCAACAGCGTCACGGAGAGTTGAGCTAGAGAGCAGCTATGGGAGAGACGGTGGAAGTTTATTGGGAGGTCACAAGCGCCTCTTGGTGGATACCATGACAACTAGGCCTAAAGTGCAGCCTGCTGTTCTGCATCTCAATCATCTCAAGTATTGCTCTCAGACAGACTTGATTGGGGATTTACTTTATATGCATTGGGCAATT